CAAATCGCGCTCAGAAACCAAGCAAATAATAGAAGAAGTTGGAGATAACTATTGGGTATACAGTTGTTGATTGTGAATCAGTTTAAGTATTGATGCGATGCTAGGGGTCACATTTAATCCTTGTTTATCGTGCTAGTGACATGTTGCAGCACTCGCGCTCCGTAACATTCATGGAGACATTTCACAGTGGGTAGGATTCCCTGGCTTCTTTATGTCTGTATTTTTATATGAGCTTGTCGAATTTGAAAACAAGGGCATATGCCTGAAGTGACAGGCCTGGGTAGGTTATGAGAGACTTAGCAAGAGACCAATTGACGCACGTTGCTGTTATATAATCTGGAATTAGCCATACCCACGCGTAAGATTTATCATTTGTGAGTTTTTGCATGATTCAAAAGGATACTCTTTAGGTCGTTGGAAACTCTACTGCTGAATGTGCGAGCTTTCTGCGTAATACACAGTTGTGGATGTATTACGATTTCTTTGGATGTTCTATCTGCATATTCCCCATGATCAGAATTTGGAATAAATCTGACTGTAATGATTTTGTATGTGATTAACAATTTGATGAAAGTGGCAGTATTTCAATAGGATGGTTAATCGAAATGATTATAAAAACTACTAAAATTTCTGAACGCAGATTTCAGAGGGATTATTCGATTTTGTATAGGTTTGGATCCTATACTACTAGACTTTTTCTTTCATTAAAATCGATTTAATTTTACCTGATTGGAATTGATTGTTTTCATTTCAGATTTGAAAGAGGATTTCAGTCGATTGTATGTTCAACTTCGATACTAACTCGATAATTTGTTGAAAAACGACGCTTCCTTAAAGAATATCAGATTGTGCGCTCCTCATCATTAAAACAAATGGTGATTTCGCTGAAAAATTATCACTGAGAGAGCTTGCTTAAACTATAATCAAAGAAATGCTACTATACTCAAAGAGAACAGCTAGTTGTTGCAAACGACCGTTTACGAACGAATACGATAGAAAAACGGTCCCCGGTCGAACTCACCCCATCGGATCCGATAAAATCCGATAATTTTCCGCTAGGATCCGACTATCGGATTGTTCGCCTTGGGGTGGTCGTTATCTGAACCCTGTACAGTCATCGTGTCCGATCATTTACTGTGATATCCGACTTCAGTTTACAGTTAGCGTCTAGTTAGGGTGGACGTTTACGGGGATTTTTCAAGGTCATCGTTTACGACGACCGTAATTCATCGTAAAACTTCGTTTACAACAACAGTAAACGACTACAAGATACTTTCGCCGTTTTTCGTCGTAAGTGATCGGTGCATGGCCGTTTACGACCGATGATGATCGACCTGGGTATGGATGTGAATAAATATGGCATTGAAATAAGTTTGATTTTGAAAAATAATCAGCACATGAAATAATTTGATTATTATTAAATTTTTAAATGTATTTTGAATATGTTCATTTGATGGTAAATTATCTTCATTATTGAAACGAATAGCTGAACGAATATTAAACGTAAATGTTTTTAATCTTGTCATATCATTGATAATATTCCTTTTCAAGTTATCACCATCAATTATCGGTCCAAATCAATTGGCAAAACATAAATTCAATTTTTCTAAATTTGACATTCTTCGGAGAAGTGGAACAAATAATTCATTGTACTTCATTAATTCACCTGCGTGGATTAGGGAAAAGCATTTTAAATTGGGAAGCCGTTTCTGAAACAACAAAAGAAAAATAATAAATATTTGCAAGTAATATTTATTCATTCGAAAAGCGAGGTTAATTTTGAGTAACTTGCTTGGTTATTGGCTGGCGGCCATGAACGAACAGCACGAGGACGAATCGTAACATAGAACGTATGAAGCTGATTGAAAGAATCATCAACCTCAACAAATACAATCTATGATACTTTTTATTACTAAATGTAATTCTAATAAATTTGAAGAGAATTGGATTGAAGGTCTACTACCAAATATCAATTGTTCATAATCAAAAGATGAACTGAAATTTAAATATTGTAAATTCTGGAACCGAGTACTGATACAAATAAATATAAATATATTTGTTTCTCCAAATAAACCTCTTCGGTATACACGTCGTTTCATATTAATAAAAAGTGATGAGATTTGATTTTGGAAATGAAGAATTAAATAACTTCCATCTAAATAAACGAGTTGGTGGGGAATTTGATTTTGCGGCAAAATCAAAATGCTTATACCGCAATACCGCAATTGTTATTGCGGTATAGCGGCAGTGCGGTATAGCGGTAGCTAGATGTTACATATCCCTTACAGAGACAAAGCGGCAAGGGGGAGAAGGTACCACCCCCGCACCCACACTAGGTACCCCATCCCNAAATTTTGTCTTGTGATCAATCATTGAATGAAAAAACTGATATACTTCCCAGTGAAAAAATATCAAATTATGGGAGATTTCAGTAGATTATAATCGGATTTTCCTGCACCGAAACTCAAATTATAGTTGACTGAAATCTTCGAAATCAACGATAATTTTATTTTTAACCAAACAATAATCTTAAAAATCCATATTATATGACTTTAAGCAAACATACATTATGTTTATCGAAAGTTAACAACATTTTTAAGGTTATTGCTTGATTAAAAATCAAATTATCGTTGATTTCGAAGGTTTCAGTCAACTATAATTTAAATTGGTGCAGAAAAATCCGATTATAATGAGTGATGGCATAATCTCGTTACACCGAGTAATGACTTTTTCTTCACACATATCAGCTGGGTATTCCTCGAAGCCTACAAAAAGGCTTTCACACATACGGTGTATGATCCTATAGCCCCGGTCGAAGAAAACGATCAGTAAACGGTCGTATACGATACAAATACGACCCGCTTTACGTGCCGTATTTCCCCGTATTACAGGGGCAGTAATACGGCCGTATGTTCTATAGAATGCGATAATGTTACGCCGGCTTTACGAGGTTTTACGGCTGATATACGGTGTTCGTGTATGGCCGTAATACTGCCCCTGTTAAAACGCCTTAATACGGCTTAAAACGGCCGTTTTACGACGGAATACGATGTAAAAACGACCGTTAACGGTAAAGTTACGCCGGTTTACGGTGGTCCGTTTTGAGCGACCTGGGAGGGTAACGACTTTGATACCTTAACATATAAATATATGCTATAAGTTGAGGAATTTGAGTTGTTTTCGTGTAATGATTTTTTCGGTAACGAAGTCATTACCCCAATAGTCATTACATCAAAACAACTCAAATTGCTCAACTTTTAACATATAGTTATAGGTTAGGGTAATGAAGTCATTACCCAAAAAGCCACGACGGGAGGTGATCACTTCTGGTAGGAAAGGCAAGGTCATATATGCCTCTCGATGTACTTGCATATTCTAGCGGGTATTCTGCCGTTTAACTCTCGATACCATGTGTTAGGGTATTATAACATCTATGATTATAATCGACTAAAATCTCCCATAATTTGATATTTTTTCACTAGCTTATACGGAAATATTATACTTTTTTTTTAATGTTACAGTGAAATAATAATCTAAGACGGCTGCGCACGATTAATTACTATCGCAACCCAGAAACCCGAAGAAATTCAAGTAGAAAAAAATAAAGGGTTTATATGGTTTACTCTCGATTCGTCCCAAATCGATCAAGTAGGTGATTCTTATCTGAAATGTTTGTCTCAGTTCGTCCCTTCCATAAATATATCATTCTTAATTGATTCTCAATTCGTCCCTTCTCCATTCGTTCCTAATTAGTTAGTCGTTAAGCAGTAACGTTTTTGCATCTTAGAGCTTTATTTAAAAAAAATACCAATATAGTATGAATAATACTGCAGTATAAATTTCTATTTTCACTTTTTGAACAGCCGTGTCTTGACAGCACGACCACATTTTATAGCCAATTGAACATCGCTTAATTGTTTATTCTTGTGTTCTTCATGTAGCATAACGAGTTTAATATCGATTTGATCGTAAATCTTTTTGCGTCTTCGTACTTGAACCTGGCTCTCTTCGGTAACATGATGTTGGCATTCATGTTCTTTGCGTAGCGTATCTATATGACGATAGAATCATTATACACCAGCTATTATAGAAGGGACGAATTGATACAAGCATTTCAGATAAGAATCACCTACTTGATCAATTTGGGACGAATCGAGAGGATACCGGTTTATATCATACAGCAGTGATTCATTAATAAAAAAAACAATTAGTATCACTCCAATTAAGGGAAATGCGCTACGTTATATTGCAATTAAATTAGGGATAATTCACACAATCTATAAATGTTCATTTTATCTTTATTACTTCTCTTTTCTTTTGTAGAAATCGATTGATTTTATCGATCACTTTTCATTGAATGTTCGAATGCTCGACTATCTTGATGGAACTGAATTCCATTTTAGCTCTTTGTTCCATCTCCTATAGTTGCATGTACTATATGTTAATAGATCTACCGCTATGTCGTTGTGAAAAAATCACGAAAGAAATATGTATTTACAGGCACACATCAGCCTCTTATTGCTGAAAAATTTATTTCTGCTAACAGTTTTAGGCTCCCTCTAAATTTTTATTAGAAAAGAGGAGAAAGAGGCTAATTTCTGAAAAAGAGGCTAAAAAGAGGATTTTTAAAAAAATAGAGGAAAAAGAAGAAAAAGAGGCGGAGTGGGTGGCCAGGATATAGGGCTATTTTCTTTTCTTTTCTTTTCTTTTCTTTTCTTTTCTTCGCATCATCTATCACTCAACCTCTCTATCTTGACGAACGATCACGTTTCGCTAAAGTAACCAACGCAGCATGAATCTTCAATTTTCTCTCCGCACAATTCAAGTGTTATATATTTAAGCATATCTAATTTTTTTCGTAAATGAGTGAAATAACGCAATAAATCGCTCATTTTTATTTCATTTCCATGCTGTGCCAAAGAAAAAATGTATTCATTTTTCTATACATAAATACAAATAAACAACAAATTTATATGTTACTTAAATAAAAGCAAAAAAAATTAAGTTTTAACCCATTTAGCTTGTGAAGAAAAAAAGTCGAATGATGATGGACGTTTTTTAACGCTTAGATCAAGTGGAAGACTTGATGAATAAGATGAAATAAGTTTTTTCGACAAACGATTTCGTTTCTTTTTCGGTAACGGAGGACAAATTTCACCGAATTGTGATGTTATTTCATCAATTATTGATTGATTATCAATATTCTTTGCATGAACAATATTTTCAATTAAAAATGATGAATGAGACGATGGTGGAGTTAAAAGATTAACTATTGATATCGAATTCGAAGATTCATTTGGAGACGATGACGATAGACAAGGTGAAAAACATTCTGTTGAAATCAATGAACATGTTGAAAGAGTTTTATCGATTGTTTCACGTTTAATGACAATTGGTTGACATGATACTGAACTATTAATGTCTTCTATTGATGATGTACATAAACAATGGCCAAGTGATGTTACTCGATTTAATAATGTAAAACGAATGGGAATATGTGTAGTTGATGTCATCGTTCTTTTTAATGAACTTAGAATGTCCGAATCTTTTAGTAAACAATTATTCGAATCGTAAAATGAAATCTAAATAAAGACAAACATTGATTTATAGAAAAAACATCAAATGGAATGTGTTTACTTGTGTCATAGAAGAATGTGGTAGAATTTGTTGAATATATGATCGAAGAATTACAATAGGCATTGAACTTTGACATTGAAGATAACGACGAGAAAACTAAACAGAAGAAAAGAGAATCATATCGTAGCTTGATAGATAGAAACAGAAAAGAAAAATACTGTACTTGAATTGATGAATCACAAAGAAATTTTGATTGTAAACAACTAAATAAACGAACAAGTTCAAAATATATAAGTATCGGAATCGGAATGATGTGTTAAAAATATATATATACATATATATAGTTTTTACCTGCATTTTGTATCTAATTCAACATAGAGATATTCTTCATTTTCATGTTGTTCTTCTAAAAAATATTTTAAAAATAATGAAGGAAAGCTATTTTGTAAAAGGTGAACTTATTTTTACTTACTTTGGTGAAATTTGAATCTTCTTTGTTTCATAGCGTGTTCTTAGTCCTATGGGAAGAATGTGAATGTGCGTGTGTCGGTGAAGTAGAGAAAAATGAATGAATGCAATGTGCGATGGTGTCCGTGCTCGTTCACTTCTCTTTTTTTCTCGTTCTATCCTTTCTCTTTCTCTTTCTCTTTGAGAAGAATTAATCGATAACCAATGAATAGTAGTTACATTTGCGTTTTTTCATCCAATGGAACAATGTTGAATTATATGCGGTCGACGATGCCCTTTCTATTCTCTGTTGACTCTCGTTAGGACTAATGTATGTATGTGTCCGCTCGTAGCGCTCATGTCTCACATACATCTGAGTAATGGGACGACACGAACACGAACGAAGAGAGAAAAAAAAAGAAGGAATGAAGAAAAAAGAGCCTTGTCTGTTTGTTGTATATTTTATTTTGAGGAGAGAAAAAGAAAAGAACGGTAGAAAAACGAATGACGTCGGACACTTTTTCTTTTCTTTTGACTTCGGTCGGAAAAAAGACGAATTGACGATCATTAGTATTAAGATATATAACAGATGTTTCGTCGTATGCGTTGATTGTTCAATATCAGTTGATTTTGACAATGTTTAGTAAATATATGGGTCTCAATAGACCAGTGAGTTGAATGCCATCGTAAAGATGAGATTAATGTTCGTTATAATAACTGAATTGGCTTGATTTACCGGAGAAAATAAATCCTGGGGCTGTAACGTCTGCTTTGTTTTGTTTTCTTCACATTCGAAAAGTCGATTGTCAAGTAAATAGACATACACAAAATGATCTTTCAGATTCATAGATTTTCTACATATGAACAGGCCAGCAGTTATCATCATTTGACTATAGTAAATCGATAGATGTTTTCCATATCATTACAAGATTTTAATATAAACACATTCTTCTATTGCCTTATCAGACTATTGATCACAAACCGGTGCTTAAAAAAGGGTTGTTCTATTTAAAAAAGAACGAAAATCGAATGAAATTCGTTACACATGTATCGATGACATACACATGGAATATACGAAAGTGTCAAGAAAAGGGCATCGAAGACGATAGACTGGAAACATACTAACGATGGGACGTCCCTTCAATGATTGCATATGTGCATTTTTTTCTCAATGCAACGCAATCGAAAATCTATTTCATCTTTGCCAAAAAGAAAAATAATCCTATACTGTTCCATTAGATTCTGTCAAAGATAGTAACTATTGAAGTACCTATTCATTGTCGGCCAATGACATATAAATGGTCAGTCTCATCCAACTTAGATTGCACTGCTACGTCTAACATTAGTAATAATTGCGATCCATTCTTTACTGTTCATCATTAAAAGAATGCCAGTCTCATTAAAACTGAATTCGTTTTGTGTAGACAGTAGTCATATTATTCAATGTCAAAATAATGTTGAACTTTCTGAAAAAATTTATTTCTCTAAACTTGACACTCGAAGGAAAAAAAAATATACATATATCTAGATATTATCGATTACGCTAGCTGTTGATCTAGAATAAAAATAAAACAACGACACATTTCTGTACTATCTTCACTTGAATATGTCAAGAATGACAAATGACTATTGTCTTTTTCTTTTCGTATTGTGTGACAGACATCAAATGATACGGTATATATATATATATATTTTTCTTTTTCCAAATATTGTTTATTAGATTCATGTCTCACGATATTCAAATTATTCGATTTTCAAGCGAGCAACATAAACAATCGAAAAAATAAAATTTTTATTTTTATAATATTCATTAGAAAGAAAAAAGAACAGAAGTCATTCAAAACTTCAAAGTCTAAAAAAAACGATGATGCAGATCGTTGATCATTTAAGAAATGTAAAACATTCTATTCATAGTATGAATAGAGGAATTATTTTTTGTGATACAAAAAAAAGTTACAATTTAAATACAAGTGTTTGAAGTATTTTTTTTAAATGAAATTGAACACTGAATCGGTCGATGAACTCAGTGTGAAATCATATGAATAAATAATAATTATATTTTTTTCTTTTTCCATCCTAGACATTCCATTGGATAGTAACAAAAAAGGAACCAATGATTGAAAGCGTTCCGATGAATAGCAAAGAAGAAGAAAAAGAAGAAGCAATGGATAAAAGTAATATAACTTGCTCTGTATTTTTCTTCAATATTTATATCATAAGTTTTATGAATATTTTAGATGTAAAAAAAATAAAATCACCATGGAAATCGACTGAACCAGCCAATGATTATCTTAGAAAATTTCGTAATTACGAAATTTAATTATTTATGCATGCATATGAGTTTCCTCTGATGCCAATCTATTACATGTTGTCTGGTATTCGTCTGATATTTAAACTTGCATGGGAATGGACTCAATATTTTGCTTTTTTTTGGTGTTTATATTCATATATTAATAATTACAAATTTTCTGGTCAAGAATCTTTATCTTAAAAAGTCATTTCTTGTGTTTTTCGATAATGATGAAAGTAAATTTATAATTGAATAAAACTTCCCGAGAACAACTGAACTTTTATCAGCAAAAAGTTGTGTATTAAATGAAAGAATACTTCAGATTACAAGAGAAAACAAACTATGGAACATTGATTGGATTGGATATTCATATTTTTGCGAAAATAGACTTTTGATCACCAAAAAAAGAGACAAGTGATCACCAAATTTATTTTGAATAAATAGATAGCGCAAAGCAGAGACCAAAACAGGCCGCGTCTTCGAGGCCTGTGGACCTGTCAACGTTTTTGAAGCTAATACAATAATGATGAGAGACTAGAAACTAGAGGTACATACAGAGAACCGAGTGTACTTTTATACCTGGAGGTAACCGGCCTATCATAGGCATAGCATAGACCTCGATTTTTTGAGCAGTGAAACTGGCAGGCTCAGACAGCCCAACAGGTCAAAAATTGCTTGAACCCCTCTGATAAGTACTGGTCCGAAATTCGTGGTCTATGCCTATGACAGGTCGGTTACCTCCAGGTATAAAAGTACACTCGGTTCTCTGCATGTACCTCTAGTTTCTAGTCTCTCATCATTATTGTATTAGCTTCAAAAATGTTGACAGGTCCACAGGCCTCGAAGGCGCGGCCTGTTTTGGTCTCTGCTTTGCACTCTCTATTTATTCAAAATAAATTTGGTGATCAAAAATATTCATACCCATATTTTTCGTATAAAGCTATTAGTTCCAACAGAAACTATTTTTCAATGTTTAACAATTAAAAATTAGATTGTTTTTGTTAATGGTAAATCATCCGAGAAGTAAAACACTTGCCTATTGGCAAAATATTATACAAGGCTATCACTATGTGAAAAAACTATCTATCTTAATTGCATTTGTATGTTTGCTTTTGCTATTCGATTTAATTTTGACGTCATTTATTTGGCTTTTGTTGGAATGAATTTTTCTTGAATATCATCGAATGATTCATACATCTATGCGTTGTGACTTCTTCGTAAGCGGTATTGAAATAAAGAGAAAGACGAATCAAACATTTTCGATATCTCAATATTTACTTAGAATAGGTTCGTTTTATTGACAAAAATTTCTATGAGATATTGATGCTAGTTTGATGAAAAAGGAAAAATTTAGACAGAAAACAATTGGGTTCAAAAAGAATTGATTTTTATCTGAACGTCGCTTCATAAAAGCTCATTTCTATGATGACTCGTAATTTAAATAGCATCTGCTTAGTTGTTATTTTATCAAATAAAACCCTCGAATATTTATTTGTTCATCGGTTCTTCTTTTTAATATCATCGACAAATGAAACGAATATGTAGCTATACAAAGTCTCGTTAAGTAATCTGTCTAAGAAAAGAGAGTGATCAGTAGTTTTACTTTGTTTTTTTATATTATTCTAACCGATATTTTGCTGACGTTAGTAGTGTCCATTACGTTAGCTCGAAGTATTTATTATTGAGACAATGATTTCAATGGTAGAGTTTATCTATCGATAATCAACACTATTATTCTTATCCAAAAAATGTTTTTAATGATCTTATTTGTCACGTAGCAACATTTATCGTTATCAGCAATAACTACAATTAAAACGTTTGACTAGTCGAGTTTTACAATAAACTCACTCGAATCGATGCCAACGATAATTTCTTAGTTCAAATCGATATTCACAAGAAAAACAAATATTTTATCAAAATAACTATCTTAAAATAAGAAAATATTCTTTTAAATAGTTTCAGATGCAACGTAATCAAGACGAAAATTAGTTTTAAACTCTACTAAAAATATGTTTCGCTGTCAACTTCTACATAAGTTAGTATCGATCTTTAGGTTCTTTGTGATTTTAAAGGACATTTCAATTATGATTACTTTAATTTAGTCTATCTAAAATCAAAGCTCATCACCATATACTACATATTATTCACAATCAATCTCATTATTAAATGAATCTACTAATCAATGATTCATTAATTTTGTAATTATTAAAAGTACAAATATTTAATGATATTACTCAGAGATCAGTGAGATTACTTCGTACACATGCTTGTATTTTATCACACATCCTTGTTTTTTTTTCGCTCAGTGAACATGTTTCCGAAGCAGTGATGAGATCGGTTCGTGTTTCTTTTGGCACCGAACAGCAAAAACCTTAAACTGAACCGAACCGGTTAAATAATAAAGAAAAAACAAATATCCATTTCTCGTCGTTTTTTTAGAATACTCACTTAGAACAGCTTATTGAAGACATTGTTATAATACTTTTATTTTAGAAATATCTTTCCATTGAAAAAGTCTGCAACATATGTTTGTGCGATATATATTTATTTATTTTGTTAATCAAGAACGATTCCCTACATTTTTGTTCGTCATTTAGTACAAAGAACAGAATTCTTTTTAACTAGCAGGTCTTATTCTTTGAATGACGTTCTGTAAAAATGTCATGTAGCCTAGGTTTTAAGAATTAATTTATATATGTTATGCTTTTCCGTCTTTGTTATGTACTTGTTTACTTTATCGCTTAGAAATGATGGAGCACTTGAAAATAATTGCATACTCAGGTCGAAGTCGAACAGTCCAGCCTGGAAACGGCCGGTACCGAGTAGTTCCGTTGATTTTGTGGAAGCAGTATTCCGCTTGGAAATTTTCCGGTGATTTCCGATCAATTCCTGATGGAAAGCACCGGAACTTGGCAGGAATCCGCCGGACAAGTTCGACCGTATTTTTGACCGGAATACTGCTTCCATATTCCAGCGATTTCCCGTGTTTTCCTGCAGGATATGGTGACTTTCTCGCATATTTCCTGCAAGATCCCACGGGATCCGGTAGCCGGAATGCTCGACCTGGGATAATGATGATGGGAAGATCATCTATTCAAAATGAAAGTGTAGTCCTACAAGATATAAAGATTTTGTCAAATTTTTAAATTTCATTTCGTTTCGTTTCTTACAGTTTAAAAAGTAATAATCACTATGATTGGCTAACCTTGAAAGTTCTAAAAAGGGCTGAGGAAATTTATACATTTTGAAATATTAATTAGATTATTTTTTTCTAACTTTATTGCAATATTTTAAAGACAATTTTGAAGAAGTTCAAAACAAAGCGAGGTTTAATTTGCCAATTGAAAAATAATGAAAATTGATAATCAGTTAATATTTGTTTGAATATTAGTGCTTGCTACTGAAAAGTTGTCTGCAAAAGTATATACTGAATGATGAGCAAAACTATTGCTAGTCTCTGAAGATTTATGAAACCGTTGAGTAAGCCATAAAAGTGTGCTATTATTTCTTCATTCACTTTAAATGAATAGGCTTACTAATATATTCAAATATGTATTTAGATGAAATCGATTCCCAATATTTGAAACCGAATCGGTCGCATCATTGAAATCTATTGCTTCTAATTATAGGATAGCATGAAATTATTTTGCTTGTTGTTTTTTCGTTGTACAGATCAAAGGTAAACTTGGTCTGCATTATCCATTTAGTGTAATGCAAATTTGATATGACGATTGTAAAGGTGTTATTTCTGTATGTCATGAATTGAATGAATGCTCTCAACAACTTGTTTTAAGTAATTCAATGTGTAAATTTGGTTCTGATCATAATATTCTTGAATCCTGTTGTACTTCTGCGCTACGTAAAAAATTTTAAAACAAGCGACTAAGGAGAACTTTTAATGAAATATTTTTTTCTCAGTCCCACTTTCTTTAAATCGTCATGTTCATGATGTCAATTTTTTTTATTACTACAGTCGGAACATCAGTTATGATTGCCTGAATCTTTATTTCATCCATCAGTAACAGACGATTTTCTATATGATAAATTAACACAAAATTTTTTCCATTATGTGAATTATTTCTTGATGAACAATTAAATTTAGATATAGAACCATTTTTTCGTCAATTAATTGCAACATTTATTCTAATTAAGCATCTAGAAATCATATTGGTGTTGTTGTTTTAGTAAGATAAAAAAATAGAAACAAACATATTTCGTTTTTATTCTTTTTTTTTGAAAACGAATGTTGAGAATTATTTGTTCGATTTGGTAATTTACGTTCTAAAAGTGTTTATTGTCAAGTTTTTTCACAAACTAATACTCCAAATACTACAGTTGATTTAGACGATCAAAGTTGTAATGAACGTGAATGATCAGAAACAACAATATTAAATAATCTTCGTTTTGTCGTAAGTAAACATCTATGTCATCATCCTGTTAATATGAGAATATTTAATACTATTGATAAATCTAAACTAAGACATTTACGTGATTGTATTGAATGTCTACAAAATGGTAAAAGATCACATTCAAATGAAATAAATGGTTCAGATCTTGATGGTAATGAATATGCTGTTCTATGGCTTGATCTTGTTATACGAGATACAGATAATTTTGAACCATATGATGATGATTCTCAAGAACCATCTGTTTCATTATCAAGTTCAATGATACATGATGATATTGTCGATGTTGTTTCAACAATATCTGAACAAGATTATCAAGGAAAATTATGTTGTACACATTTAGGTTATATTGATAAAGCTGGTAATCATCCATTAAGTGAGCAACAAGTAAAAGAATGAAATATAAAATTTGGTCATAAAAAACCGGATTCTATTGACAAAAGATCAAATTGATCTTTATCTCAATGAACATACACTTGGTTTCAATTCTTCGTTCTCAATCAACTTAGTCTATTACAAATCATTTTGCTGATCACCCCGAAGAAAAAGATTCATCATATAATATATGGACAACAATTGAGGATGTACCTATTGACGCATATCTTATACATCCAAGTTATCATCAATATATGCCATCATCATTAGATGTATATAGAATTTATTATGATGCATTATTGAAACTACAATATTTGCTTATCATTTTATATCTGACATTGTTTTATTTACCGTTTTAATTCACAACAACAGCAATGTATATCAAAACATATCGATGTTGCTGATTCATCACAAGTAGAATTAAAAACATTAATGAATAGAATAAAAGCTTTATTCTATACTGAATTTCATACAAGAGAAGAAGTCGAACGTTCACGAATCTCAATGAATGCCACGAGATATAGAGGAATAAATATGAGAATGGAAGGTGAAGCCAATTATTTAGATGAAAAATTAGCAAATGCTAGTGTATATCAGGCGTCCACAGGGCAGGGCTCTATCTTCATGCCCTGCAAATTTTGCCTGTACTTACTTTAGTTCGAAAATAACAGCAATTTTTCTTTTTCTCGTAAACATGAAAGAAACTAAAAAATTCAGATTGCGCTATTAAATAGTATACAAATAGATTATTATATTTGCGTTTGTGTGATGACCATGAGGTTCAATCAAAGTACTAACGAAAGAAAATAATAAAGGAATCATAATAGTGCACATATATTTATAATTTTAATAATTTTAATAGTTGCTCATCTTCTGATTAGTATTTGAATAAAACGATTAAAAATAAAGCTACACATCGTTTAACACCGTCGATATATTCACGTGCGGATACTTCATCTGCCTCTCCTGCTGATGAAAAATGAAGTTTCTATTCTCTCTTCGTTAAATATACATCTACTGATGGATCGCTAGTGGTGGTGCATATTCATCTCATACACCTCCTGAATTAGGACTAATTTATTATTTGTTAATCATTTATTTATTTGTCGAATTACTTTTCAAATAAGAAAAATTACTTAAGCTTGCATTTAAGCATGAAATAAATTCTTCTTAATTAGCAAGGCAGGGCAATAAAATTGACCCAGTGAACACCTCTGGTGTATATTATGTTGCTTGTTATCAGTATGAACTAACACAACATCGAAAATGTATTCTCTCGTTTCCTTGGTTATTTTCAAGTCTTCTACTCCAGCGATGACAAAGAAATTTAGCAGTTATGACTAAAGATAAATTAAAACTTTTGAAATATAAGACAGATGATTTTTTCTTTTAATCATTATTCATTTCTTTAGTAATCGATACGTCTATCGTTCAACTACGTGAACATACAATAGTAGCTCGTGTAATGAAAAATATACTTATAGAACTAGTGGAACGAAGAGAGCTTCGATTTTATGTCGAATCTATTGATAATACAGAACACTTGACAATTATAAATTAGATTGTATCATCAATATATATTTGATACAAATAATACTAATAGTCTGTTGATACAGAAAAAGCCAATAATTAATGAACAACATTGTTCGAAGGATATATTAACAAAGGAATTACTCTCTATTCGGTCTCATTCGCATGTGTCTTATTTGGGTCCTATAACAATCAGGATATAAATAGTGATGTCTCATTTAGGTCCCAACTTAATAGTTAATAGTGATATATAATTTTATTTTATATATTTAAATAGTCATCATGTATACAATGAATAAGACTAACTGTAGTCTTATTCGATTTACTAAATTATTATATGTATTTCGTCGAACAAATAACAATTTTTAACATACATACTAGACATTTTCCTCTTTAAGTTAACTTAACGTTTTTGTCTTTTCTAATGAAAACATCACGTGCAAAAGAGAGAGGGACCGATATGAGAAAGGACGGATTGGGGCCGAATCGAGATGACCCCTAACAAAGTCTATCTATGAAGCAAATGAAAGAGGTCCGTTTAATTGTTCAAATTTAATTATACGACAAGGTCAATCATTGGAAAATTATTATTCGTCAGTTTAAAATGTTCTATGATATTGAACATGTGATAATAGCTAATAATTATGATGAATATATTTCAACGACGTATCATCATTTGAGTCGTCTGGTATCATCATGTTCTTGGAGACATTTATTAAATAGAGAAAAAATGAATCTTTGATGTTTACATGAATATTTAATACTCGCTTTACATGTGTATTATTGCTGGTGTTCATGGACAACAAGATGAATGAGGTAATTTACAAAACAGTGATAATAAGGAATGAACATTTATTCTCAGTGATGTTTCCTTTTTCTAAATTTGAAATTTTACGCTTCGTTTATTTTTGTCTGATTTTGCCGATCAATTTATTTATATGTTTCTATTTGATTGTAATTTTTGCTTTCGAATCTTGCAGATTGATTCGATTTAATCAAAAGAAAAGATTGATTTCTTAAGGGAAAATATTATATCAGTTAATTTACAACAGTTATGAAAATATTCATTATTATTCTTTGTTTTCTATGTAAATTTTACAGCTATTGATGTTAATCATAGTATTAAAATGTTCGATAAGCTAATATAAAGGACATAACAATTGCTTTATTGATTCAAGGATCAAAATTTGATTAAAGCATGATTTCGTTCGCCTTACATATATTATTTGGAAACATTTGAATTATTTTTTCATGACTTCTCTCCCCGAAGCAGAGAATTGTTGGTTTTATATCAAATTTAAACTAGAGAAATTTTCTCGATATCCATCTTTTGTTGCTCGTTTATTTACATAATTTTGATTAAACCAGATTTTTCAAAACTTAGAAAGACTGAATTATGATATTGACAACATTAAATTTCTACTATTGTTTAACTCTGCGTAAACGACAGATTTTTCTCTATTGCTTTCTAAAAGTTGATCACTGGCATAGAATAATTTAGATGCTCGCAATATAAACCACACAATGCTGAAAGTCCGATTTTTTAGTTCGTTAAAAATTTAAAAGATTTTGATACAAGTTGAAGCCCTAGTTTTCATATGCCATGTCCAATAGCTTTCATTTCTGTTCAAAGTAAAATATGATCAAATAGTGAACAAAAGTAAAGAAGTTCAAACACATCAGTGTATAACCGAACAAAAAATATAACTTGGATATTGGTTATCAGCAATTCACTTTTGTGACTTAAAACATTTTCCGCTCATACCATTTGAAACACAACATCTTGATACTTATGTTTTTAGTAACATATTCTGCAAAATAAAAGTCTATCTGGATAAAATAATTTTTCGAAAATTTTGCAATTTCAAAATTTAATTATATCAGAGATGGAAGCAACACATTAAACAATTGTTTTCACCAATCGATAGATTATTAAATTCTCTACAAACAATATTCAAGTCGCTTTTTGATCGGATGTTCATTAATTTTCTGTAGTGATTTTGACAATGTTCATAGGGGTGGACATGCGGATGGTAGAGAATAAATGTTTATCATATGTTGTTATACAGCGTTGATTTGCAATGCTGTCAATGTCTCATTTCTGTATACATAAATATTGCATTACATACTTCGTAATAATAGTTGCGATTGATAAGGTTGACTAGATAAGTACAACTCTTGTGCTATTATCATAATCTAGATTTTCTATTTGTTTAATTATTCATCAGACCAATGCTTTTATTATTGTTCTTGTGCAGTTGTTGTCTTATAAAAGTAAGTTGGCATTTAAATCAATATAATCTTTTTCTGTTCTTAGCTCTTTATTTCTATCCTCGATTATCGAATAGAAGATAGTAAAAAAAAAGAGAATAATATGATATTTACTGTGTATCATTAGTAACAACAACAAAAAAAAAAGGCGACGAACGCATACAGTTAAAGTAGACATTTAATAAAATCAATTCAACTATTCATTCAACCAAAATGTTTCGTTATAATCATTTGTTGATTATCATAATTCATTTAAAATTTTGTTTTACATCCAATAGTAATGAACAATGTGTTCTTCGAGATACATGTAAAAATTCATCGTTTATATCTCCGTCAATTTACAATCAAGATTCTTTCATACAATCACGAAATTGTTTTTGTGACTCTGTTTGTCAGCAATATGGTGACTGTTGTGAAGATACTAAAGTATCAACCAATAAATATGAATGTGTAGATTATCTTTTACCTATAATGTCAAATACAATGCCTTCATCTAATCGATTATTCGTTTGGATGCGTACTGAATGCTTACCTATATATATTGGTTCACAAGTTGATAGACAATGCCGAAATTTAAATAATCAAACATTTAATCATAATCCAATATTATTTATTCCAGTAACAAGTTTACAAACAAATATCACATATAGGAACTACTATTGTGCTTATTGTAATAATGATGCAAGTAATAATATAAAATTTTGGGAATATAAACCGTGGTGTCATGGGCAAGGTAATGATAATGATTATCTTATTTTAAATGATGATCAACAAGTTGAATATTATATCCATAATTTAACCAAAAATTGTTTAAAAACAATTCTTTATCCACGTGATCGAGGGAATGCTCACCCATCTGTTTTTATTCGACCATGTAAAAAAGTTGTCCCATCAACTTGTCCTCCGAATACATCAATTGAGCTAACTCAAAATTGTTCGTCATTTGTCACAGCTTATCGTTATGTACCAGATTCAGATATTATCTATCGTAATTTCTATTGTGCCAAATGTAATAATGTCAATAATAATTATGAAATAACATGTGTGGATCCATATATTCGTTCATCATCAGCTTTCGTCATACACATACGTGTTCATCCACTATCAATACTATTTGATCCTAATCTTCTTAAACGCTATTTAAATAATAATACAATACCTCATGCTATCTATTCAATTAATTACAATTGTACAAATCCAAATGAATTGTATGATTTATTTGAAAAAAATTGCACACAAATTACAAATTCAAATCATGAATTTATTATTTCAATGAAATGTTCATATCCAATTCAAACATTGATTCAATCAAACGATAAGATATATAATAATAATGGAAGTATTTATCTTGATAATTATACACTTTTATTAAAAAATGATGAGTATGTTGTTATTAGTAACAATAGAATTGTTTTTTGTATTGATAATTGGATGAATTTGGAACCATCATACGTAATGACGAGTTCGTTTCCATTTTATCGTAATCTACTATCTATCGTTTTTACTTCTATTTCTCTTGGATGCCTTTTATTGTTTGGTATTTTTTTTGGGTTAATTCCTTTCTTGAACAATTTACCAGGAAAATGTTTATTATTTCTTTCAATATCATTGTTTATTGGTCAATTAACATTTATTTCTACTTCAAATCTAACTGAGCATAAATCTGTATGTTTTATATCAGCTATAATCATTCATTATTTTTATTTATCCTCGTTTTTTTGGTTATTAATAATAGCCATTCATATTTTTTCAACATTTAATCATCAAACAGTACAACATGATAAAAATGATAAAAACCATACTCGTCTGATAGCCTATAATGTACTTATCTTTTGTTCAACTGGTATTATTCTATTAATAGCTTGTGTAATTCAATTTACGGTGCCACAATCACAATTTTCTCCAGCATATGGTTCAATTTATTGTTCGATTTCAAATGCTAATGCTATGATCATATTCTTTCTTTTACCTATTGGCTGTATTTTCGTAATCGTCACAGTTTTATTCATAAAAACGATTCTGGCTATTCATCGGTCACATCGTATTGCTAAATTAGCCGCTGTTACGTCTTCATCAAATATGAAAAATGCTAACATCGCATTTGTCTATGTTCGTTTAGCATCATTGATGGGTATTCAATGGATCTTCTTGATCGGTGCTCTTGCTATCAGACAAACGTGGCTATGGATTCTATTTGAAATAATAAATTCTTTACCCGGAGTATTCATTTGTTTTGGATTTTTATGTTCAAAAAGAGTTTTCGATAATTTAAAACAAAAATTTTCAATAATATTACCTATTCGACAGCAATCGTTACGACGTACTACGACAACATCAACAATATTAACGTCATCAACATTACCAAAGATTAACTCTATGAAAAAATTATTTCACTTTTGACATAATACATTTGTAATTAGATTTTTTTTTTCGATGAACATTGCCAAAAGATGATGTTTTTTCTTCTATTCGATTTCTTAAATCTTTAGTTTTTTCATGTAATAATTAAGTATCTTTTTTAAAAACGAATAGTCAATTCGACTATTTCTAAATTTGTCTTCCAATGAAAACATAGGAAATAAAATCTAAACATTCTTTTGAACTTTTTTTTTCATTCTTATTCAATTTTTCTTTTCGCCAACTGTATTTCTGTCGACAAGTAAATATTGAGTACATCAGTGTTTCTTTACAAACACGTGGGCAATATTTCAATGAAAAATTCTATGCATTCGTAACGTGTTACTGTCTGAAAAGTTTCAGAGAATAAATTGAATTTTAACACAGTAGATTTGATTTCACTTATTCAATCACAGCGTAGACTTGTATAAGTCATTGTAGTTATGGCTAATATCAAAACTTTTTCATCAATTATTAGATTGGATGAAGAAATTGATCGTCTTACGTTTCTTTGTGCGCGTATTACTCAAATAGCGTCAAATATTCGATCAGTTCACTTGTCTACAGTTAATTTATCTGTTGAAAATACTCAATCACGTCTCGATTCACTTTTGTCCATGGCTGAACATATTGAAGGTTCAACTATTTTACTTGAGTCATTATTAGCTATGGAACAACAAAATTACATGTTGACTGAGTACAAGAAATTGACAAGAATTCACTATACTCGCAATCATTTATTACAATTACGACGACGTGTTACATCAACGTTATCGAAGGAAATTAAAAATTTACTGAAACAAGTAGTTGAACGTGAAAGTAATGATTCGGTTGAAATAGAAAGAAAGTCATGGAGAGATATAAGAACTATTTTAATCTAATTTTAAAAAAGCATAGATCGTTTTGTTTTGTGATATCTACAGCGAATAAAGATACGATTACGAATAAAAACAAATTTTCATAAAATTTATCTATCTCGTATGTGCATTGGTGTCAATAACTAAACTAATTAATCTTACAGAAGAAGAAGAAGTATTATCTTTCCCATGAAGTTGACATTTTATTTATTTATTTATCATTAGATTTATATAAAAATAAATTAAAAATATTTTTAAATAAATGCAAAAACTGATTCCTAATAGTTTACCTTATATAGCACCAATATTATTAAGGATTACTTTTAATGAAATTGGAAAAGTAATGTGAATCCCTTATTAGTATTTATCAACTGAAAAACAAACAAATATATCAATGCAGTCGCTTTCGATGCTACAATTTAGAATTTGGATATTCAAGTTTGCAAATATGACTTGATTTCTCGTGGTATATTGATTGACAGCATAAGGTGCATGGTATGTGATTAAATTCAAAGGCTCAATCTAACTCTGCATGTATTTTTATATATAGTTATAGATAGATATCTTCAAAATATACTCGTTTGAAATTTTCTATTAAAAATTAATTTTTTAGAACTATTAGTGAAACGATTAACATGAGAATATTAGAGATAAATATTTAGAATAGTATTTATTTTCGTGATTGAGTAGTATCTTATAAAAATAATATCTATCATGGAATCGAATCTTTATTACCGGTATGACAATAAAAATCAAGTTAATAAAAATAGCTTTTCTTCCACGTCAGTAAATATACAGGAATCATAAAAAAGATTTGATTTTGTGAATATTCCCTATATTGTTTGTACTTTAATCATGAGCGAGTATATTCATGGGTAACAGAAAGCGAAGGCAAATACTTTTGAAAAACTTTCTATTAGAAAATTACTGTTATAAATAAATACATATATATATATATATATAAATAAATGGAAATTTGTCACATGGTGTCGATAGAAGCATGACTAAAAATCTTGTTTTGTCGAAATAGATATCGCGACATATACCTTTTGTTTTTTCTTCAAATAATACACTAAGTATTTTCAAATCGACTATTTTTCACTGTATAAGAATCTACACAATCGATCCCTTTTATTTGTGATTCTAATAAAACTTTAACTTTGAAATATGACTTCTTTTTCTGTCCTAGCGGTCCTAGGATTGTCACTGCGTACATCTTGATGATCGTTACTAAAACTATAGTTGGCATAATTGTGAATATCCTAATTTTTTATTCTAGCAAAATAAATCTTGAAAAAAGCCTACTGCAAATTACTCTTATAGATTTTTATCCTCGCAAAACCATGAGTCTGAGAGAATTTTTTACAGTCAAACAAACAAAGCTGCACTAAATTTTAGAGTGTAACAAAACAATTGATGATTCTATCTTTTTTTTTCTAGTTTTCATACATACGTAACGTCCAAAGATTGATTAGACTATGAAGTTCTCAAAATAATTAGCTAATGTTAGCTTTATATAATTTAGTAGAATCATACAAAGTATTCAAAAAATGACTATTTTTTAACAAGGAAATTAAGATAAAAACTAATTTAATCAGAACCAGAAATAAAACTAAAGAAAATTGATTTAACAGTTCGACAAATGTTGGTTGGTAAATCAATGCACATTTCACAAAACTTAATACATTAGTTTAGCTCGCAGTAAAATGGTACCAGATAATATCGAAAAACGATAGTCTGGTATTAACTTTTTATTAGTGTTGAGATATAAGTAGAACAAAACAATCATAGTTTTAGTTATACTTTAGTCGAGAATAATAAAGATACGCTCATATGTTACAATATGCGGAATCATTTATAGATAAAAAGGTGAGAATATTTTCGCGCTAATTATCTTGTTTTTCTAAATAACTATCAGAAAGGTGCAACTATTTTCATTTGCATGTTTTTAGTCACATGAAAAGAAGAGAAAAGTTACACACATATATTAAAAGTACTTGCTTAAACGAAATGATTAAGTATAATTTTGATTCACAATTCAATTGCAAGTTGTACTCTATAAAAAAAAGTGACAAGAAGAATTATTTTGATTTACTTTAGAATTACATGTGAGGGAAACAAATCTATTCGTAGAAAAATTGAGAAACCATAGAAAACAACTTCTACGAAAATGAAATATGATGCTTATAATCTGTTCATTTTTATAAGATTGATTCGCATTCATAACTTCATTTGTTTGTTTTGCATATCTATGATTTTTTCTTTTATCAGATCATTATACATCACCCGAAGACTCGCGATTATGGAAAAAGACTTAGAAAATATACCATATAATGGCTTGATTCAAAATTTCTTTCTAAAAAACAAAAAAAAAAGGAAATATAATATATTGATTTTATTGCCGCTGATAAATTTTAGATGTCATGTTAAAAAAAGAATGCAGAATGATCAATAATGTCAGATAGCAAGAAGAATTCAAGAGAAAAAAAGACATCATACGAATAAACAACAAATAATATTAAGTTTCAATAGAAATGTGTCTGAGTTGTGAAACAAATGCATAAATATTAACAATTAAGTCGAAAACAATGAGATAGTTGTTTATCATCTCTAAACAATTATCAAATTGTCATCGCCTGTTATATAATAGAACAATCAAATGTCTATTTCTTTTTATCTTTCACTCCATTAACAGCAATAATTGTTGATAATAAACAAGCTAAATTATGTCAGTTGTGGATTATTAGTTTGCCATTGTTCAAAACTGTATTCAGCAATAAAAATTCCGTTCAATATCTGATTTTCGTTTATGAATTATTTATGCGTAGATAGTTTTAGCAATCGAATTATTTTATTGATCATATATAGTTATTCAAGTATTTATTTACTGTTCTTTTGCTCTGCTCATTTTTCTTCTTATCGATGTCACTTAAATCATCGTCATTTATAAATTATGATTCATATCAAATAGCTTGGTCCTTGAACTTTCTATTTACTTGTCGTTCATGTATATATATATATATATATTTATCAACATGGATTTCCAAAATCTCTCGTTATTTATGTCCATGCCAAGAATGCACCTAACATATATTGGTTGTCGGTACATAACACTATGCGTTCTACTGAGCTCTTTCATCTGCATAGATAAGAAAAAAGATTTGATCTTTAAAGCATACTTATTGTGTGTACATGTATGAATTTTAATTTACTCTACGATGCAAATGTATATTTCTCATTCTTTCCAAGAGCGATGGCAATATTCTAGACATACCGTAACAGCAGGACCAATTGAATAGATGGAATTATGCATCTCTACGAATCTACATTTGACAGATGTATAGCGAAATTAAAATACTTTCTATTATTTCATATATTTTTCATCTTTAATTAGATGAATAGTTTAATTGAAATGATTATTTAAAAAACAGCTCGCTCTCGCTTCGAATAGAATAGAATATCGAGCTGATCAATTTTAAATAAACAAAAATAAAGAATGAAGATTTACAATTTTTCAAATGACTAACTATCTGCACATTTTTTTTCATGTGGATGTGTGCTAATGTTTGACGAATTTTCTTTCGATTGTTTTGTGCAAAGTGCTAAAAGAGAAAAGTCTACGTAAACATTTCATTATGTTTCTAACACAATGTACAATTAAATCATGTGTGAAGATACTATTGAGAAAGTCCATAAAGTTAATCGATAATGTCATAATTTGTCCATCAACCTTGCATCTTATCATTTATGTCAGGCTTTTTAAATCTAGGTGAGAAGACAGATTTATCTCTCATTTTCTTTCTCTCTCTCTGGTTTTTTTTCTGTCTTTTGCTATTCGACAAGTGTTTTATTATTGAACCGATAGTAGAAGCCTTGAGAAAAAAAGAAAGGCTATCAACAATTTGTTGAACCCAGCAGGATATGTATGTATATTTGATTGGAAAACACTGCAAGGGGTTGTCCATCACCGTTCGAGTCTAGACACATGTACATACTGTCTTTTTTCTCTCTCGAGAATAGCAGAAAAAAAAACAATATTATTCAGCACCCAACATATAGAATTATGACTGAGATAAGCCATGCATCTGTTCATTTTTTGTCTTACAAATGGACTAGAGGAAAAGATAACACAAATTATTTTTAGCATCTTTGATCTGTTTTTCTTTGGTTTAGATATCCGATCCATATTTTATTTACATCGAATATTGTTTGTATTCTTTTTTCCCAAACAATAATCTTTATCTTCTCTATCGAATACTTCTAATTGATATAAATAAAAGCATGTCCAATTGTAATCCGTTACGTTTTCTATCAGTTGCACTCGTTTAAATTAAAATTAACTCATCTACTCAATATTTGTCGAGCATTCGAAAAATAACTGAGTGAATGAGCCAATTTAGATCGTGATTGGTGAAGTAGTATTGTCTTATAAAAAAAAATCCGAATCTTGCATCAACTAGTGCATCAGCTTCATTTCACACTTTTTCAATTCATTCTCTTTCTCATGGTACACTTTATTAACACCCAAGGCCAATATATATATAGCTATATATGAATGGTCTGCAAGGTTGGTGTTCACATCTTCTTTTGTTACTATTTCATGCACATATACAGGTATACCGACATATTGTATAGCCTAATTACTTGCGTATTAGAACGATAAAGACACGATGATTGACATAGCAAAATAAATAGTCTGGTACAGATGAAGCTTCAAAATAAAAAATGAAATGAACAATCAGCAGGGTCCTTGAAATAACAAGTTGAACACCAGCAGCTTCTAATTGAGTCAAAAACAACTCTCTCGTGCACACCCATGATGCAATCATCATCAGCATTCCTTTTCTCTTCGTTATTTGTTCGTCATTTTCCATCTGGTTTCGATTGCCCATTGGTCATTTCATCCATTTAGCGAACGAGAAAAAGAGAAAGAAAATAACCTTCTTCCTGTTTTATATACATATTTGCTGCATGCATTACGTTTATTTACACATCCGATAGTGATATTAACGATGAACATCGGGTTCCGCCATGTGCACTAAGAACAAGGTAAAAGAAATGCCAAGATATTGTATTAATTCAGTCATTAGAAGGTAAATTTTGTTCACCTTATCCAAATACAATCTTTTTTTTTCTATGTGTTTTCGTAGTTGAAAAGACAAACAAAGATACTTGAACTGTTCGATTACTTTAAAGAAGACATATATTCGTCTGGTAGTAATAGAGCTAGTGAATGAACAGCTCTATTTTAGTCTCTTTTGCTCATTTTCAATGAATAGTCTTAATGTCTTCACTATTGTTCATGGCCTACTCATTATCACTTATTCGAAACAACGAAGAAACTAAGTGTATTTCATCTTTCAACGGAACAGTGATTTATATGAATTTTATCAGACAAATCTATCTTATATAGTAGAAGTAAGTTTTATTGATGATGACCTTTGATTTGATTCATACAAATTGAATCGAAGAGATTCGTTGTGCATCGATACATAAATTGACACTCAATTGTGATCGGCACCATCAATCTAAATAGTACTAGATAATGGTAGCACGTTTAGAATTTCAAGTAACTCACATTGATATACATTAAACTGATATTCATTGCACACATCGTGCGTTCAATGTCAATTGAAAATATGCAAATCAATCAGAACAACAACTAGAGATAATATCAATTAACAGCTATTGTGAGAACAAAATTTAAATTAAATATATCGACTCGACAATATAAATTTCTATTTACAATCTAATTTTCATATCAGATATAAAATTATGTATTAACAACAAGAGATTAATCAACTGAGTATATTAGAAAATTTTCAATCGTTTCTTCTTTTTTTTTCTTTTTTCGTAGAAACAACATTCTTTATCTTTAGTAAACATATTGCAGTTGATATAAGCGCTAAGTGAACTTGAGTGTTTTAAGTCTTCATAGGTATACGAAGTATTTGTCTCTCATCTTATTTTTCTATTTTACTAACAATCACAACATACTGTTCATAAAGATGATTTTGTGTCGGCTTTAAGCATTTTAGTCGTTACTTGATTCGAGCAGTTCTTTTTCTTTTTTTTCTTTTTATAATGTATGAAACCTTAAATAAGTAGCTAAGACTATTATTCTATTTGAAGAATTTAGGTACATTCTGATCTTTATCTATTTCGTTTTGACAGTTTAACTTTTTTATTGTTTCATTCCCTCTTTTTCTTTCTCTTTCTATATCAAGTTTCAATAATTATAACCTCACAGTTCATGTCGTTGATAATATTGTTAACAATATGACAACAATAGGCCGGATGTTACTAGGAAATACCTTCCTTCGATCATTATCCTTGATAGTTTCTTTTTATGAACAATTAGAATGGAGATGATAAGTTTTTGAATCGTATCCCGACTATATGAGGTGTAAATATTGTTTTAACGCAGAACAGACGCGTTCAATGGATGTCTTCATCATCAGAGAAAAGAAAAAGAAATGCACTATCGAACTCTATATGAATAAAATAGATGAGAGCGGTTGATTTAGTCTTCTTTTTGACAAAATAAAAATAAAAAAGAATAGAATATCACTGCTGAAAGCAATGCACGGAAATCAATAAGCCTAGAGCAATATTTTAAATAAACATTAGATTGAAAAGCTAGTTTGTTTTTATTAGGAAAAAGATAAAAGATGTCTTTATCTTCAATTTGAAGAGTTTATTGAAAGATTTCTAATAGCTATGAGTCATTTGGAACGTTGAACTTGTTCTCTTATCATGCGTTTCAACGTGTTTCTTCTTATCTTGCAAATTTTCTTTTTCGATTTAAAAATAAATAAAAATCATCTTTTATTTTCTAGATGATTTCTTTAATTTATCTGTTTTCTCTTGTATCATTAGTCAAAACATCTGATTATTCTTTAATAATCGATGAAAAATCCTCAATAGATAAACCAATTCTTAATTTTCCTCATTCATATGAATTAATAAATAATTTTCAGTCAAATTTTAATTTAACAAATAATAATACAAAATTAATTTTAACAAAAATGATTGATCGAGACGAATGGTGTGCAAAAAATATTTGCCCATGCGATTATTGTTCATTTATTCTTGAGTTATTTTCAAATCATAATCAAATACCAAAATTTTCCACCGTTAATATAACAATAAATGATATTAACGATCATACATGTGAATTTTTTGATACACAAACAAATATCTCTTTATCAGAATCAATTCAAATTGGACATCGATTTTCAATCGCACGTGCTATTGATTATGATTCGGGAATGAATGGAAAATTATCATTTAAACTTCTTAACAATGAAGATTATTTTGAATTAGATATAATAACATTATCCATGAATGAATATGCGATTTATGGTGTTGTTAAAAAGTCTTTCAATCGAGAAATTAATGAAAAATATGAATTAATTATTGAAGCACATGATCATGGACTTCTACAAACAAGATTTAATCGTACAAAAGTTATAATTGAACTGTTAGATGAAAATGATAATGCTCCAAAGTTTAATCAAATTGAATATTCAATTCAAGTAAGTGTTCATAAAATTTATCTCGTTTATGTATATTATTTGTACGATGAAACGGAAATTTTCGAATTCTCTCAAGCTATCTCCTAGAGTGTTCAAAGTAGACCCACAAGTAATGCAATAATCTATCGTGTATATACTACTTTAAACTATACATAAATATGAATTTCAACATTAGCAATATTTTTGAATATCGATGCTGAATTTGCATATAACACATATTTATTTAAAGTATTTGTTTATTTTATGAGAGATATTCTAAATCTTATCATATAGTATATTATTTTCATTTTCAAATCTTTAGTCTCTTCCGGAAAATACTCCTATTGGCACTGAATTATTGACGATATCAGCAAGTGATACTGATAAAGGTTTAAATAGTTTGATACATTATTCGATAGTAAATTCTCCAAGTCTATCATTATTTCCATTTGCAATAAATTCAACAACAGGTGTTATTAGTCTTCAATCATCGTTAGATTATGAAACAACACATACATATAGATTTTTAATTCGTGCATCAGATTCTGGTTTACAGCAGTCGCTATTTAATGATGCATGGTGCTCTATTTCAATAAAAGATGTTAATGATTGTCCTGTTGAAATACTTTTTCTACCAAATCGTCGTTTTCACTACGATAATCAAAAATTATTTATCTATGAAAATACAGAAATAAATAATTTAACATTAGGTTATATACGATTAGTTGATCGTGATTCAATTCAAACAAAACTTTCAATTTCATTAACAATATTAGATAAACAACCGAAACAAGAATATGAAATTATTTTATCAAATCAATTGAATTCTTATATACTTATTGCTAAACAAGGAATATTTGATAGAGAAATTCAATCAGAAATAAATCTTCGTTTTATAGCAACTGATAATTTATTAACATCAATTTATGATATACAAATAAATTTAATTGATTTAAATGATAATCCAAGTGAATTTTTAATGAATCCAATGAAGTTTTCTGTTGAAGAATTAGCAAATTATCATATGGTTGAACATCCGATTGAAGATTATGAATTGACTATTGGCTATTTGAATGTTGTGGATCGTGACGAAGGAGAAAATGCAGTAAATATCTACGAGTTAGAATCGAATTCTTTAGTTAAAATTGATTCTAACACTGGACGATTATATTTAATTCAACCGTTAGATCGAGAACAAATACAAAATATTCAATTAAAAGCTAAAGCAATTAATGTTGCTGAGCCAAAATGGATGACTGATGTTCAAATTCAAATTGAAGTGTAAGTTTTTATCGAAATAAACTGTTTTTTCTCAATCGAACCGGTGACGTATGGGAATTTTTTCTTTTGTTTAAACTTTAATTTTTCTATGAACATGATATAGGAACAGTGAACAGATCATCGTATTTATTATAGATATTAGAATAGAAAACGTACAATTAGTTAGTTTTTCTTCACGATTGTTTTTCTTTAGTAAAATTGATCAGAATACGTTGAGTAGAATAAATTTCATTTTAATTGAATATATAATTCCTCGAAACTCAAAGACATGAGATAAAGATTATGGCAATTTAACAATTTAGAATATAACTTAGAATGTACATTGTTACTGTGAATAGTAAATAACGAAGGATCAACAGATAATCTGATAGGGATATTGCCGTTACTGATAATTAATGTCGACTGCTGCAATATTGAAAACTAATTTCTATCAAATTAAATAATTTTTTTTTATAGAGATTGACTCTAGTGCTTTAGTAAATACAGATGAATATTTGTCCGTTATCTTAGAGATAATATGTAGTAAACTATAACTACATATATCTCTCTTCGCAACGATCGAAACTATTCGCGCATAATAATATTATATACGTATCAAATACTAATGGCTATTTTGCTAGTGATAATTATCTGACATGATAGTGAAAATGTTGATAGATAATGAAAGGAAGACTACGCTATAATTCATAATGTACATATCATAGCTGAGAAATTACACTCTTTAAATGGTATGCATCTGAAAACAACAAATAAACAGACTAATCTACAATTGTCGACGCTTCTCAATCCTTTAATTTTGTATTGTAACATTCAAAATATTTCATTTATATTTTTTATAGTTTGGATGTGAATGATAACACTCCTCAATGTTTAACAACATATAGTCGATTACCAATTTTGGAAAATTTTCCCACAGATAAACCATTGATTAAAATCAACGCCAGTGATCTTGATAATGGTATAAATGGTACAATAAATTATAAATTTCGAACAAATTCCACATGGTTATTTCATATAAATAATGTAACTGGTGAAATTTATTCGAAAGACTTATTTGATTATGAATCTGACTTTAAACATTTCACACTGATTATTGATCTTGAAGATAACGGAAATCCAATAAAAAATCAAAATCAAAATGCTTGCCAATTAGAAATTTTTCTTGAAGATATCAATGATAATTGTCCAGAATTAATTGATAATGAACAAAGAAAAATATTTATTGATTTAGAAAACCCATTTAAAAATGAAATCATTTCATTTAATGTAACAGATCGAGATTCTGGTATAAATGGAAAAATAAAATATAATTTACAATCGATTGAATCAAATATTAATTTAAATAATAATCAAACATTATTTTATTTAAATCAAAATGGAAGTTTATTTATGACATATAAAATAAATCAAATATGTTTATTCAAGTTACGAATCTTACTTGAAGATTATGGTTATCCATCTCAACAAACATTAATAGAGATAAACATTGCATTTGGAAATTCATTAGATTCTCGATATTCGTCTTTTGAAAAAGTTCAAACATTTTTCCAAGAAAAAAATTCTGATATGAACTATTTTGCTTTTATATTCGGTTTAACTGTTTTAATAATAACGTTTATATTTCTAATATCAGTTATGATTATTTGTATTTTAATCCGACAACAACATCAGCGACATAAAGCAGCGATTATATCACGAAATAAACTTTTATGTTCATCATCACAACAGTTAACAACATCTGATTCAACTGTTACATCTAATACAACATCATCATCTATTGAACATCAACAAATTATTCGAGTAAGAATTTTCTTCTCTTTCAAAATACTTTTTAACTTAAATTAATTCAATTTTAGGCACCTTATTCAAATGAAAGATCTTATATGAATCCACGTTTATCAAGTGCGTAATGAATAGTTTTTCTCTATCGAAATTTTTATGTAAATATTTTTCTTTCTGCTTAGTTAACTGTTCAACACCAGAATCTCATACATATAAGATTCTTCATGTACCTCTAGATATGCATTATTATGAAAAAGATAAAGTTGATAATATTAGTTCTGATCATGGTTATCATGAAAGCTATCGGACAGGTTCATCATCATCATCATCGTCACCTGAACAATGCTCAACAGAAAATTATACTCGTCAGGATCATAAGTTTAACCAATTACCATATTTTGTAACTAAATGTAAGAGTCTCAGTGAAGGATTTATTGTCGAAATGAATGTAGATGGAAGTGATGAAGATACAAGATAATTGAACTGAAATCTCTTTTTTTTTTAAATTGTATATAAATAAAGATATCATGTTTTATTTATTCTTTCTCTATTTGAAATAAAATCAAATAATTCTTTAAACGATTATTGTCAACTAGATAGCGGTTTAACGTTAAAAATCAATATTTTTCCCGATAATAATCATAATTCGATTAGAATTTCTGTCTATTGTAATGATTATGGAAGAAATGCACACAAGGAAAATTTCAAATAATAGAACAATCAGTTGACAGTGTTTCTACTAGACAAGATATAGAAAGGAATCATGAATAAAACTCATATAATCTATTCTCTCTTGTCTAAGTAAACATCCAAACAAATAAACTGTTAACAGTTAGGTTAGTCGTTGTGTGCTGACAAACAATTTCAAAACATCATCAGCCATCAACAAAAGTTCTGAAATTCATCTAGATAAAATCTTGATGTCGCTCTATATCAGAACTGAATTGTTCTTTGATTGAATCAGTTCTAACTGAAATTGACCCTACTAGCGTCTAGTAGACATAGATTATTTTTTTTCTAATTTCTGATGACATTGATGACGCAGTTCGAACAAAAATGATCTATTAACCATCTGCTGGTAATCATACAAACGACAGTACTTTCTTGTTCTCTCTCAGTTGTTGGTCATAACAAATACTTTCAATAATAACCATTTGTGTTATTGATGTGTAGATTGATTCTTTTTCTGTTGACATCGATGATAAGCTATTGTTTTGTAGCTGAGTTATAAATTAATTTCAAAATAGTTTAAAATGAGAATGATATTCTATAGAAACCTAACTAGTTTTAGGTTGGACTTTATTCGACCGGAAAAAATGATAAGGATTTGAATATTGCAGTGAATGGTTAGTTTCTTACTTTCTATCTATCTTTGAATGAAATCAACAATTCGGTAATCATGAAACATTCTCAATGTCGGTGTCAAATTTGAATCTGTGATAGATCGTGTTATAAAAATAGGATTCATTGAAATATCAGATTTCCACTTGACGCAATATGTGTTCAATACGTTCTATGACAATTATGATTATTACGATAATATGTTGTATGTCGAAGAAGTCATAGACTACTTTTAAATCTGATTTTGATATATGTAAGAAATATATTTTGCTAATAAGCTACAATTTTGTTATTAGATTGTGCATAAAATTGATTCTAGTTTCCTTGATGAAATTTGACATTCTATTAATGATGAATTAAGATTCCATTAGAAGAAATTTAGAATCTATAGGTAGCACGAGAATCAAGTTCTAATGGTAAAAATTACGAATTATAAAAATATTCATTTTCTGTAGAAGTTTTCATTCGCATCAATGGAAAGTAACAGATTCCTTCAATCTAAATTCAACGACGAGATATTCGACAATAATAACTATGCCAATAAAAACTAATTGCTGATCTCAAACAGTCTTGATGCATTTAAGTGTAATAATAAAGAAGACGTACGTATGTTACTTCCGTAAACGGAGTATAATATTGATCAACGCAGTTTTATTTGTTTCTTGTTGTGAGATATTGAATCAATACTCAGCTATATTTTTTAAACTTCTGTTCATCATTGTCATATCAACTATTTATGAAGTATATAAAATGTATCAATATCAGTATCTTCACATTATGTAGTATCAGTTTAAGATATAGCTCAGTCACCGCTTTCCTGTTCGCGATCGATTGTGTATACATATTTATTTGGATACAGTATTAATCAACAAACCACGTAGAATATTATTACTAGATAGTAATGACTGCATTCATTATTTTAACGAATCAGACAAGATAAGATAACAGTTCGATAATGTTTAGAGTTAAATTGAAAAGTACGACGAAATAATTGGCATCTTTTTTTTTAAAGCGTGCTTGAACAAGAAGCATTAATTGATGCTATGTGTTCTTGATATGATTTAATATTATTATAGATCAAATACTAGAGACCTAGAAAGCAGTTTAAGAAATTTATCTAGCTAAGTAATATTGAATATAGTTTGAGCATCTTCGATTTAACACTATTTATGATAATCGAGACAGTGATGTGTTTACTTCTCTTCGTACTGTTCCATCAAGTGTGTCTAGTGTAATTATAGAAGATTCTTTTCATGACTCTAGGTGGATATAGCTTCTAAATGTTCTGCTTGGTAATAACATTCTAGCGCGATGATGTCAAGGTCTGACTCCTATCACATTCGACCAGCTGTGTCTAATGAAGATTGGATCTTGTACACAAGAATATCTATGCCTTAAGTAGTTACTAGCTCTGCTCGTTTCTAGTAAAAACATCTAGCCGCTGAGCTCCAATACCGTGATTATTATTTTAATCCTAATTAAGCCAAGAGTTTTCTCGCTATAGTCGATTACATTTCTCTGTCTTTAGGCATTATCAAAACAAACAACATATTTGTGAATGTTTGTTACTATTGTATAACACGTGATCATCACTAAAATAACAGCCACAAAGGAAAAATCTTTTACATTTTTCAGTCATCGTTACGATTGTCTGGTGATTCAAAACTCCTGTCTCAGGTGCATTGCTAAGGAGTCCCAATTATCATAGAACTTACTAGATATATATTGCTTCAAGGCGAAACCTAACATCTCAATGAATTAAATTTGTAGCTATAGCATAGTAAATCACAAATTAAAATATTCTATGGACACTAAATGCTGTAAAATTATTCGATGTTGATTTCTTTCTAATAATTTTTTCTTCTGACATCATCTTTAAATTCTGTGCGAATTTCTCGATACCGCTTTGCACTTATTTCAGTAACACCAGTCAATATGATTGCAACAATTTTTGTAACGATAAATAGATTTTCGAATGTTTTATACAATATTTCGTCAAATCTCTCTTTAAAAGCGTCTATCAAAAACATGTTAACAGAGAACAATATAGAAATGCACAGAAGGCTTTCATATATCATTTATTGATAAAAATACTTTGGTAAAGATTCAAAATAAGAATTAGTCAAAAAGAATTCACTAATAGACATTACTCCAATGTTCAAAGTTGTATAACATTGATTTGATGGGTATCGGTGTAAAAATTTATTCAATTGAAATAATTGTAATATTTAGCGTGCAAGTCGTGTTAGCACAGGCTGTTGTAGATAGATGTATTTCATCAATTTTCAAAAATAAAATTTGAATAATTAGTAAAGATTACCATGAAAAAAGTATCATTGAAAGAGAATGCTTTGAGAAAACAGAACATAGAACAACAGCTATAGTTACTACACAAAATTACTAGTTTTCCCCCTATGCATTACATCTTGACTTACTGGGTAATATTTGCTTTATTGTAATGTATCGTAACTGAGTGAAAAACTAACCTTTAGCATAACTCGTTTCCTTTATTATCAACGTATTAACATTTATATGTTCCGAAACATAAGAAAAAGACATAAATATCTATAGAAAAGCGATAAGCCAAGCGTAACAACAATCTAATGAAAGAATAGACAAAAGAAAATATATTGAGATAGACGACTATTGCAAAAGTATAAATAATATCTCAGAAAAATTTCTGTAGATACATTTGTGGGAAATGGAATAGAAACGGTTGACACGAGAGAAGGTCTCTATATATTTCGTTATCTTGCAACGTATTGACGAAAAAAAGAGGAATCGGATTTATTTATGATGGTAACAACCGTTAATGATTGTTGTAGTTGAAAATAGTTAGTTTTTAAGCATCAGGTTCTAGGTAAACTTATGTTGTTCATAAATATTTGAAAATTTAAGCAAAATAGTATAAGAATCTTATGGAATCATGATTGAATGAATGCTTTGCATTATTTTATCATTTGATCGATCAGAAAGAATGTTCTTGTTTCGAATAATTTATCATAAGATTTTTATTTTAACAAACCTTATATTTAGTCAAGCGAAGCATCAAAATAAATATTCTGTTGGTAACTTAATATATTGATTATATGTTCCAACAAATTATATGTCATATTGAACGGTAACAACGATTTATGATAGAATAATATACTAAAATGATTTTTAAAAACAATACTGATCTATAAAAAATAGTTGCTCTTTTTATTTCATTTTCTTATGTTTATATTCGATTGAGAGAGTATTTTTGTCAAAGATTCATAATATTATTTGAGAGACTTTGTTTTTAAATCATTTATTAGAATATGAAAATACACAGTAGGATTATTGTTTGTTGATTGATGGATATGAATACGTAAATACTATTCATAAGTTGCCAGTAATAGCTCGTCTATTCATTAACATTGATTCTTGTCAATGCTTTGATTGCTTACATTTGTAAGTTATCTGTTATCTCATCGAAAATCACATGGACATACACAAAAACGATTGCTTATTAGATCGATAGAAAAAATAGCTTTCTTATCTGCAAATGATGTAGATGCAGATATTCACAATACTACAAACCTATTTGTCTGAGACAAAAAAGGAAAGGCAACAATACTAATAGATATAATTCGGAGAAAATGTTCTCGCTTAATTTCATGCCTAGCCAAGCCAAAAAAAGTTTTACCATTTTATCTACTCATGACAAAGAGAGGATATAATTTCTCTCTCTTCTATGTGTCTGTTCGACCATCTGCCGAGCTGTTGTATATTATTGAGATTGCCCAATCATTATGTTAGATTCCAAAATAGCTGTACTGTAAAAGAAAAAGTTGTTGGAGATTGGCGAGAAAAATACTAGGACAAGAATAGAATTACTTTTTTTGGTCAATGACATTATTTTCTCTCTTATCTCTCGTTTTCGGGACTATATAAATGCTTGCTCACTAAAGAAACCGTTGTTTATACACAAACGCATTCTTGGCACGTACTATCATCAGGTATTGATCATTGAAAAAACAATTAACCATATCTTTTCTATTGCAAATATATTTCTACAGTTTTCAGTTAACTGCATTGTGTATTGAACTTTTATTTTATTAAATTATAATCATGGTGGCCGAAGGGTACGTTAATTCGTTTGAAATGAATTGAGTAGTAATTAAATTTCAATAAATTCTATAGAACGTTCAGTGATCCTAATAATCCCGAATTAATAGAAGCCATGAAATATTTGGCTTTACCAGCTGAAGAAAAGATCAAACTTCGATCTCAACCTTTTGATGCTAAAAAGGCATGTTGGGTACCTGACCCAAAAGAATCTTTTATTGCTGCTGATATCGAGAGCACAAAAGATGATCAAGTTACAGTTAAGACGTGCAAAGGAGAAGTACGTGGATTATATTTGTTTTCAGTTGAAATTCTTTAAGAATAACCATTTCTTTTCTTTACTCAGACAAGAACAGTGAAAAAGGATCTTGTTCAAGAAATGAATCCACCAAAATACTGGTGTATTGATGATATGGCTGATTTAACTTATTTGAATGATGCTTCAGTATTGGCTACCTTACGTGATCGTTATGCACGATGGCTAATCTATGTATGATCATTGATGTCACTATTGAATAGTATGAAGTTCATGTTTTATTTTCTAGACTTATTCAGGATTGTTTTGCGTCGTCATCAATCCTTATAAACGTTTACCAATTTATAACATGACAGTCGTAGTTGCGTATCGTGGTAAAAAACGTACTGAAGTCGCACCACATTTATATGCTATCTCTGATACTGCTTATTCAAATATGCTTCGCGGTAAGTATACTACTATATAGTATAAACAGTTCTATTGCCCGAAGATTATATGAAAACGTAATATCTATTATTGAAAATTCTTTAGAAACAAAGACAGATGTTATGAAGTAATCAATGAAATAGCTTTTTTTCATTATCGTTATCTAAATACATCTTATCTTTTAATGAGGACAAACTAGAAAGTATTTATATATCTATTAAGAAGATTGCGAAAAAAGCTAATGATTAATCCAGATGTCTAAATGACAAAGAAATAATGAGGCATTTACTAAATGATTGTGCTGCTATACTATGCTGTATATTATCTTTAATCAAACTACAGTAAAAATACGAGGTTACAGATACAGACATACCCAGATGTTCTGGAAGACAAAATAAATCATGCGCAGTTAATTTATTCAAGAGTTTAATTATGGCAATAATCATATTCTTTTCTTTGTTGTTTTTTCTCATAATTACATAAGAAAGAAATGTTTATTACAATCGTTTATGTAAGAAATACGAATATTTTTGATTATCATTTTTGTTTCTTACAAAATGCTCATTAAAATAAAAGATATATATTTTTTGATCATCGAATCAATTACTACTATAATGATGCATAGCAAAGAATGATATTCATAGTTTTACCAAAGTTAATGGGAAATTTTTTTTTATCAAATAGAATAAATAGGAAACAGACACAAATTATTTTGAAGTTAAATAAAAGATCAAAATCTACTCTGCTTTTTATTGTCACAAATATACTATCTATTAGTCGTAAGCACTAGTTTTATATCATTTTAGTTCTCAACAAACATGTGTGGGATGCAAAGCTAGTTTTTTTTCTTTTCTTCTATATGTTCACTGGAAAATATTTCATACTAAATTATTTATACGAATTTAGATCGTGAAAATCAATCGATGTTGATCACAGGTGAATCTGGTGCTGGTAAAACAGAAAATACAAAAAAGGTCATTCAATATTTCGCTTTGGTTGCTGCGGTTGGAGCTAAAAAAGCAGAAGATGGAAAGGTAGTATTTCATTTAGAGGAATAAAAAAACAATCTTATTATTGTCTTTACTAAAATCAACGACAAAATGTTTTAGAAAACAATGACACTTGAAGATCAAATTGTGTCTGCTAGTAAGTTAAAACTTTGATTCTATTGATTGTCAGATAAATATTTTCTTCATCTTGATTAGATCCTGTCTTGGAAGCTTATGGTAATGCCAAAACTACTCGTAATAACAACTCATCTCGATTTGTAAGTTATCATTAATTAATAAAACGAATGAATATATTTTCTTTTCTTGTGATCATATGATTTCTTGGTTAACTTTTTCTTTTTTTCCCAATACATCTCATGTATATATGTGATAGATTTATTCTATGAATATCACATCATTTTGAGATTATGATTTCTTGATGAATAGTATATTGATACACAATATATGATTAGTTACATGCTAGTCATATTCTAAGAATAAACTAACTGTTAACGAATGTTGAATATTTCTATTTAGGGTAAATTTATTCGTATTCACTTTGGCCCAACTGGTAAAATCGCTGGTGCTGATATTGAAGTATATCTTTTAGAAAAATCTCGTGTCATCTTTCAAGTAAGATATTAATATAATTATTGAAACATTTTTTCGAACAATCTTATTCTATTGTCTACACGTAACAATGTCAGAAAATTATCTATGGAGAGACATTATTTTTTGATAACAATATAGACAATTTACATTTTATTTCAACTTTCAAATTTGAACTGTAATTGTCGTAGATTGATAATAATTCTACAGGTATTCTATCATTGTTTCAAATAAAAATTCGAGCAGAATCAAATCAACTCAGAGATTAATAATACGACAATGACTATAGATTAGTTAAATTCTAAACTATGAAATAGTATGAATTGTTAATGATATTTTATTGTTACATATGAATATTGCAAGAGTCTCCTATACTGGATAGTTTTCATGCGCATTATCTATTATGTGTGATTTGAAGGAAATTCCATTTTACAAAATTTTCTCAAAGTCATATTGAGAAAAAGAAGAATAGATACGATCTGTTAGTATCATTTCATTTTCCAACACTGTTCGTTTTCAAAAGGTGTTCAAACGTTCTTTTAATATGGCTCGCATTGTATCTATAAGTTTATAGAAACCTGATTTGAAAAATCGATTACCACTAAAATTTCACCAAGTATATTATACAGAAATATTCTTTCAAGAAATTTGTATGTTCGACAAACACCATTGTTCAATAGAACAGATTTCTAACAAAGTTGTAGCAAAAAGATAGAATTGTTCGAAAACATTTTTTCATTACTATATATAAATAATATTGATTTTTTGTTTTCTTTCTATTTTAGCAACCTGGTAAAACATAAATTTTCTTCCGAAACTTAAGACATTCAATATTAATTGTTTATTTAGCTGAGCGTAACTACCATATTTTCTACCAACTTTGTTCAAATGCATTTCCTAAATACCATCGTAAATAATAAATTGATTGTCAAATTTATTATTTTGAAATTTTCTTCTTTCAGAGGATTGTTTAATTGAAGCTGATCCGTCAAAATACTTTTATGTTGCTCAAGGTATGCTTACCATTGATGGTGTTGACGATGTTGAAGAAATGAAACTCACTGATGAAGCTTTTGATATCCTTGGCTTTTCACAGGTTTATATTTATATACGTTTATAGATTATACTGCAATTATTATTTGACATTTTCTAGGATGAAAAAATTAATTTATTTAAATGCACTGCTGCTATTATGCACTTTGGTAATTCTCAATGGAAACAACGTCCTCGAGAAGAACAAGCTGAAACTGATGGCACAGAAGAATGCGAAAAAGTCGCTCATTTACTTGGTGTTGAAGCAGCTGATCTTATCAAAGGTTTACTTAAACCTCGTATTAAGGTTTGCTTTATTTAATACAATCTTTAATCATCAATAATTTTAAAAAAATTGTAGGTCGGTAATGAATATGTGAACAAAGGCCAAAATAAGGATCAAGTCGTAAACTCAATTGGTGCTCTTTCTAAATCGGTACGTGATAATAACTAAATATGATTAACTATCGATAATCTGTTTTTTCTTTTGTATAGATCTATTTCCGCGCCTTTTCTTGGCTAGTCGAGCGTGTTAACACAACGCTCGATGTCAAAGCTAAACGACAATATTTCATTGGTGTACTCGATATTGCTGGTTTCGAAATTTTCGAGGTGAAATGAGTTTTTACAAAAAACGTAATTATGATCTTAATATAAATTTTTAATATAGTTCAATGGCTTTGAACAATTATGTATTAATTATACAAATGAACGTCTTCAACAATTCTTCAATCATCATATGTTTGTGTTGGAACAAGAAGAATATAAAAAAGAAGGCATTGATTGGGTATTCATTGATTTTGGTATGGATTTAGAAGCTTGTATTCAACTTATCGAAAAGGTTTATATTCATATATATGTTGATTCTTTCTATTTGTTGAACGAAATTTCTTCTTCTCCTTCTTCTTCTTATTATTATAGCCTATGGGTATTCTTTCCATTCTTGAAGAAGAATGTATCGTACCAAAAGCTACTGATAAGACATTTGTTGAAAAACTTTATACTAACCATTTGGGTAAACATCCACAATTTGGTAAACCCAAACCTGGTAAAGGCAAAGCAGAAGCTCATTTTGATATTCATCATTATGCTGGTACGGTATCATATACAGCAACATCATGGCTTGAAAAGAACAAAGATCCTATTAATACTACTGTGTATGTTTATTTTATTAAAATTTAATTGATAAAAGAAGGAAAATATTTTTAATATTTAGTGCTACACTTTTTGCAAAATCGAAGAATTCTCTTCTCTGTCATTTCTTTGCTGATGTTGTTGAAGAAGAAGCTACTGGTGGTAAAGGTGGTGGCGGTAAAAAGAAAGGTGGTGGTAGTATGCAAACAATTTCAGCTACACATCGTGTAAGTTTTTTTTTTCTATGACAAGGCAATAATAATTCTCTTCATAATTGAATTTTTCTTCAGGAACAATTAAATAAATTAATGACCAACTTGAAACAAACCCATCCTCACTTTGTTCGTTGTATCATTCCAAATGAAATCAAGACTGGTGGTGTACTTGATTCACATTTGGTAATGCATCAACTCACATGTAACGGTGTACTCGAAGGTATTCGTATTTGTCGTAAAGGTTTTCCAAATCGAATGATCTATTCGGAATTCAAACAACGTTATTCAATTTTGGCACCAAATGCTATTCCAAAAGGTTTTGTTGATGCCAAAAAAGCAACAGAAAATATCCTTAAAGACTGTCAATTGGCTGAAGAGTTATATCGTTGTGGTTCAACAAAAGTTTTCTTTAGAGCAGGCACATTGGGTCAATTAGAAGATATGCGTGACATGGCTTTATCAAAAATTATTTCTGCTTTACAAGGACAAATTCGTGGTTATCTTATGAAGAAAGAATACAAAAAAATGTTAGAGAGACGCATAGCTTTAACTGTATTACAACGTAATTGTCGTAAATATTTATCATTACGTAATTGGCCATGGTGGAAATTATATACAAAAGTTAAACCATTATTATCTGTTGCTAGACAAGAAGAAGAAATGAAAAAACTCGAAGAAGAATTTAAAACACTCAAAGAGAATTTAGAAAAAGAAGAAAAATTAAGAAAAGAAGTTGAAGATAATAATACAAAGTTAATTCGAGGTAAGAGAATCTAAAACAGTAACTTTTATTATTTATCTTATTTATCTTATTGTCATTATTTTTTTTAAATTATTTTTCAGAAAAGAATGATTTACTTCAACAATTAGAATCGGAAAGAGTTGGTTCAGCAGAAGCCGAAGAACGTTTCACACGTTTAAGTAAGTTTATTTTAACAGCATGAATTCTAATATAAATTCTAATTAATGCAATCCATTTTGAATCACATCCCTATGTCACACATTGAACCTAAATCTTTTGAATTCGATTCTTTTCAAGATCTTCTTTTATCTTATGTTGTATACTTTTAACAAAGAATACTATTCCATAATATTCTATATTGTAAAAAGAAAAAAGCAACTTTAGATTAGCGATTGAAAAACTATCGCTGTGAGCTAATTACAATGAACATATCAGTTTTGTCTAATTGCATATTGATCAGAGAATGTCTTGATAATTTATCTGGTGTAAACTTTATTCCAAGCAGAAAATTATTGAAAAGTTTTATCCAACCTTAAAACCTACACTTTTCTGCTGTTTGTGAATTTCACCAGAAACGATAATAAATATCATTAAATAATTTTAGCTCAGCTAGGAAAATTTATCAATTTAGAAATTCGACATCTCAATATGTATATATATATATTTGATCAGTTCTTACAAGTTGCCATAATATTATTGTATTTTTAGTAACACAAAAGGCTGATCTTGAACAACAAATCAAAGAATTAGAAGACAGATTCGGTCAAGAAGAAGAAAATGCTCAACAGTTGAATAATAAGAAAAAGAAACTAGAACATGATATGGATAGTTTGAAGAAAGATATCGATGATATGCGTGTAAATTTGCAAAAATCTGAAAATGAATGTAAAATACGTGATAATCAAATTCATACATTACAAGATGAAGTTGCTCATCAAGATGAAACCATTGCCAAAATAACCCGTGAACGTAAACGTCTTGAAGAACAAAATACTAAAACAACTGAACAATTACAAGCTGAAGAAGATAAAGTTAATCATTTAAATAAATTGAAAGCTAAGCTTGAACAAACTCTTGATGAATTAGAAGATGGTTTAGAACGTGAAAAGAAGGGTCGTGCTGATTTAGATAAATCAAAACGTAAACTTGAAACAGATTTGAAAACTTTACAAACTAACCTAGAAGAATTAGATAACTCGAAACGTGAATTACAAGAAGCCCTTAAACGTAAAGATCAAGAAATTCAACAGATGGGAGGACGTCTTGAAGATGAACAGGGACAAGCAACAAATCTTAGCAAGAAGATAAAAGAATTACAAGCACGTATTGAAGAAGTAGAAGAAGAAGTTCAAAATGAACGACAAGCCAAAGCTAAAACAGAAAAACAACGAGCTGATTTAGCAAGAGAAATCGACGAAATGAATGATCGATTGGAAGAAGCTGGTGGTGCAACAACATCACAAGTTGAAATGAATAAGAAACGAGAAACAGAATTACAAAAACTTCGTCGAGACTTAGAAGAAGCTAATCTTCAACATGAAGCTACAGCTGCACAATTAAGAAAGAAACATCAAGATGCTGTAACCGGTAAGATAATCTGGGGTTGTGTTTTTTTTTGTATTCTTCAAATCGCACACTTTCAACAACTCTATGTTTTTTCTTTTTCTTTCATTTGAAGAAATGGGTGAACAAATTGATCAATTACAAAAATTGAAGAACAAATTAGAAAAAGAAAAGCATGCAGTTAAATCTGAATTAGATGATGTACGTACTCAGATTGAACATGTACAAAAAGGCAAAGTAGCTGCTGAGAAACTTTCGAAACAACTTGAACAACAACTAAATGATATTCAAGTTAAACTTGATGATCAAAGCAGACAAGTAGTTGAATTAACTCAAATTAGAACAAAACTAATTGTTGAAAATACAACCATAATTCGACAAGTTGAAGAACTTGAAGTTCAAATTGTCACTTTAAATAAATCTAAAACAACATTGCAACAACAACTTGATGAAGTTAAACGATCACTTGATGATGAATTACGTGGCAAAGGATCAGTTAGTGAGTATATTTTAAAAGATTTCAATTTATATTATTTATTTCTTCGTATCGTTATAATGAATGAAGTACGATAAAAATGGATAGAGCATGTAGCTAAATTTTGAAGAAATTACTAACAGAATGATGTTTACGTATGATAAATAGAAGAATAGCAAGGAAAACATTCTTTTGAGATCGATAAATTGATATTTTAACAGAAGAGTTTATATGCATATTTAATTTGTTTATTCATTTACAATATAGTTTATACCAACTAAATGATAGCCATGTAGTTAGGGAAAAACAATTTTACAAGAAATGAATGCTCTTGATCATAGCCTTTGGTGGTTTAATAGAGTTTCTCATATAGGAATTGAAAGGTCTTTGTAGATAAAACTACATTGCTTATAGAGAAGTTAAATTACTCTAATCATTGTCTAGTTAAGTCATTCATTTTTGACGAACGTAAACATGCATAGACAATGGGTCAATTTGTTTTTGTAATTTTCGTTACATTTAATCTCGAGAAAAAGATAAAAATTATAGAAATTCGAGTTACATAATTTGATTCCAAGATAAAATAATGTTATGAATATTTCTTTAGATTCTCAAATACGTAATTTAACATCGGATCTTGAACAATCACGTGAACAACTTGATGAAGAACTAGAAGCTAGAAGTGAACTTCAAAAGCAAGTTACCAGACTTAGCTCTGAAGTACAACAATGGAGAACTCGTTTTGAGTCTGAAGGTAAATTTTATTGATACGAAAGTTACTCTATTATAATAATATATATTTATACATATACATATGAAAATATATTATCTTTTAGGTGTTGCTCGTAGTGAAGAACTTGAAGAAGCTAAACGAAAATTGGCTTCGAAATTAAATGAAGCTGAAGAACAAGTTGAAGCTGCATTGAACAAATGTAATGCGTTAGAAAAAGTTAAAGTACGTCTTCAAGGTGAAGTTGAAGATCTTATGGTTGATGTTGAACGTGCTAATTCGAGTAAATTAATATCTTAGCTTAGAATATATTTATAAACATTATTTCTTTTCTGTTTCATTTTGTTAAGATGCATCTGCTATGGATAAGAAACAGAAACAATTCGATAAATTGATTATTGAATGGAAACAAAAATGTGAAGATATCACTGTTGAACTTGAAATATCACAAAAAGAATCACGAAACTTCTCAACTGAATTATTTAAACTTAAAACACAATATGAAGAATCACATGAACAAATTGAATCACTTCGTAAAGAAAACCGAAATTTGGCGGATGAAATCAAGGTTAGTTCTCATCGGGCTTTTGTTTTTCGATATATGTTAAAAATTGAAAAACTAACGTATTACTTTGCTTTTATTTAGGATCTTATTGATCAATTAAGCGATGGTGGTAAAAACGTTCATGAATTAGAAAAAGCTCGTAAACGAGCTGAATTAGAAAAAGAAGAATTACAAGCTGCATTAGAAGATGCTGAATCATCGCTTGAACAAGAAGAAGCCAAAGTACTTCGTGTTCAATTAGAATTAAGCACTGTTCGACAAGAAATTGATCGACGACTTCATGAAAAAGAAGAAGAATTTGAAAATACAAGACGTAATCATCAACGTGCACTCGAATCAATGCAAGCTAGTTTAGAAGCTGAATCCCGATCAAAAGCTGAAGCACTTAAACAAGTAGAAACAGAAAATTTAAAAAGTTAAATATAATATATTTATGTACTATTACCGATTTAGAAAAAGAAACTTGAGACCGATATCAATCAACTTGAAGTTGCACTTGATCATGCCAATCGTGCAAATGCTGATCTACAAAAAACATTAAAACGCCTTCAACAACATATTACTGAATTGCAAACACAAATTGAAGAAGAACAACGACAACGTGATGAAGCTCGCGAACTCGCTGCTGCATCTGAACGTCGTGCTATTCTTATAACGGCTGAACTTGAAGAATTACGTACAGCTTTAGAACAAGCTGAACGTGCTCGTAAAGCAGCAGAAAGCGAATTACACGATGCAGCTGATCGTATCAGTGATGTAAGCACACAAAATGCTACCTTAGCTTCACAACGACGACAACTTGAATCAACTATTTCTGCTATGCAAGCTGATTTAGATGAAGCTGTTAGTGAACTTAAGAATAGTGAAGAACGTACTAAGAAAGCCAGCATTGATGCTTCACGTCTCGTTGAAGAATTACGTCAAGAACAAGAACATACTTTACAAGTTGAACGATTACGTAAAGGTCTTGAACAGCAAGTTAGAGATCTTCAAGTACGCCTTGATGAATCTGAAGCTAATGCACTTAAAGGTGGAAAACGTATTATTATTAAACTTGAACAACGCGTAAATTATACTGATTTTTGGATTTAAATTTAAAAAAATCAATTTCGATTTTCTATTTATTTAGATTCATGAATTAGAAAGTGAAAATGAGTTAGAACAAAATCGCCATCAAGAAACACTTAAAGAATTACGCAAAAACGATCGACGTTTGAAAGAGCTTGCATTTCAAACTGAAGAAGATCGTAAGAATCAAGTGCGTTTACAAGATCTTACTGAAAAATTACAATCCAAAATTAAAGTGTATAAACGCCAAGTCGAAGAAGCTGGTAAATAACTCTTTGTTTTGTTTCAACAATCATTATTTTAATTGACAATTCTTTTTCCTTTTCAGAGGAAATTGCTGCACTTAATTTGGCTAAATTTCGTAAAGTTCAAACAGACCTTGGTGAGTTTAATATAAAACAAAATGAATTTATACACTGAATTTGTTTTTTTTGTTTCTTGTAGAAGAGTCAGCTGAACGTGCTGATTTAGCTGAAAATCAACTTGGAAAAATACGTGCTAAAAGTCGAACATCGATCAGTGTAGGTCGCACCACTGAATCTGTAAGTTAATATGTTTATTTCAATCCAATAACTTACAATACTTTTATTTTTAGCATGAAGTACGCGAATCAACAACAACACGAGTAGGTTCAACAATGCGTGCTAGTTCAGTTCGTCAACGTTAAAAACTCAGATGAACAAGATCAAAAATGTAAAAGTGAAAATATTCTTATCTACCGTAACAATAGGTGTTTTCTTATTTTTTTTGTAGTTGTTCACTTGCTACCCTATTTTTATTGTGTGCATTCTATGAAAAGCTTTACAAATTTTTAAAGATTAGTCTAAATATCATATTCATCGTTTTATTCTTTCAAGCTTGTTCAAAACTTTATATCGAAAAAAAAAAATAAAAATAATATAGCAGCAGATAAAAATATATATTTTTAAGATTATCGGTCATACATGATGTTATTACAACAAAATACGATGACGGGACGACTATTAAGGGAGAAAACAAAAACAGTGTATGTTTATCTGAGATAGTGTTAGCTGTTTTATTTACTATTGGTCTCACGGATCCTCTTCTAAACTTGATCTTTTTTTACCTATCTAGATGAATTCTTTTAATTTCTATTCCAAGTATTAAATCTTTCATAGTGAACAATATTCTAATGCTACAGGCTTCTTTAATCAATTATTATTCATGCATGAGGAAATATAGATTTAAAAATTTTTTGTCTTTCTCGATATTACTGATTTAGTCAAAAGTTTCTTCTAATTATTTAGTTTTCTGTCTGTTGAAAAAATAAAAACGGTATGTGTCATAGAATTTCTACAGTAAAATATACAAACACTTGATTCTGTTCATACAATAACCTTTATTCATTTGCATTTGATGTTTCGTAACAAGAATTCTTCATTTGTTCATTTGCATTCACAAGATCATTCAACTTGATTACATAATTAGGAATTACAAAGGAGTCTTTCCATTAAACAATCGCATATTTCACTGTGTTCTATTAGTTACTGCAGTCATATTGCTGATTTGATACGAATTCAAAAAGAATCCTTAAATTATCTTGTTGCTTATCTATTCAAGTTCACATAAATTGAATTAATTTCTTTTCATGCCTGACTACAGAAAGCAACATTTAATTCACATCATTAATGATTAATAACAAAAACTTATCAGAAAGATTCGAAAATATTTGAATAAGTAAACTCTTAGGTTCTATATAGTAACAAGTTTCTCAATAAGATCCAATAATTATCGCGACAACACGATGCACTTACTGAAGAAATACGACGAAATAAGCAACAGATTTGACAAAATAAACATCATAATTAGTAGTTTGATTAGAAAAATAAAAATTAGAATTTTCTAAATACTGAAAATTCATGTCTTTAAGAGAAGAAAAACGCTTTTTCTTTATTGAATATCATTACAATAGTTACCATAATATCTCAGCAACGAGTTTTGTAGGAAAACTTCCTTGTATTCGATTACATTATTTTTTGACTCACACCTTTCTCGTTCTATGCTTTGTTCTTTACACATTATTAATCACATAGTATTATGATCATGTATTATCGATGGAATTCTCTTGTAAAGATTGATATTTTGCACTAAAACTCATCCAACAGCTGGACTTGTATTGCAAATATTTCTAATCAAAATAAAAATTAATGCATTAAGAGTTGTATTAACTTTTCCATCAATAAATATAATTGATAAAGCCATTATATCAATTAACATTATATGTACATATAGAGGAATGAAAATTGAACGAAAACATTTTCAATATGAATTACTAAAATATAACAGAAGTAATCATCCGGTGGTTTTTGATATTCTTCTTGTTTTTATTGATCATCAATGTTTCATATTTGAACTCGCAATAGTTTCATTTTATTGTCTTTTGTATTGATTAAGTGACTACAGTTGTACTTGCGTAATGATGCTGAAATTTTACTTATGATTCATGATGACGCATTTTTGTATAGTTTGCATCACCTTAAATGGTAATAATACGGTCAGAAGACTCATTATATTCTCAAAAAAGGTGATGACACTCCATCGAAACCTGTCGACTATAAATACTTCATGTTTGCAATAGAAAAAGAAAACGAATATTTTTATTTGATGCATTCTGGTATTTATTTTTAATCAATTTGACCATATGATAACGCAATGTCTAGCGAAAGTGAAAGTCAAAATAAATCATCGCCTTCGGTAGAAACGACGACGACACCATCTCAGGAAATAATTGCTATAAAATGTTGTACATGTGAATCAGTAATTCACGATGGTGAAACTAGACTTACATGTAAGAACATGAAATGTAACAAACGGACTTGCAATACGTGCATAAATGTGATGTTAGAAATAATGTTTGCTCAACCTATTTTCAATTATCCATTACCATGTGGTTCATGTCAATATCCGTTCGATCCAATAGAAATTGATCGAATATTTATGAAACAAGAAAACTATGAAAAATTCATAGCATGTGTTCTTCCTTTATTTTGGTCAAAGGATTGTCTTGGAGAAAATGAAAGATTAGCACAATGCAAGTATTTGAACACGTTATTCGTTTTAAAAAAGACGATTTATTCTATTTTTCATAGGCCCATTTTGTCCTTATCTTGAAATTCATACAACTGATGCATGTCCTCTCTATTTTTTTACTTGTCAACACCCATCTTGTGGTAAACGATCGTGTTTGATATGCCTTCATAATATCATAGACGATAGTGATGAATCAATGCATCGATCTCAATGTATTGAACTGCATTCATATAAAGAAATGATTGAAAAAGCCATTGAAATAGGATCTCAACAGCATTGTCCTCATTGTCAATTAAAAGGTCTAAAAGATGATGGCTGTACGCATATGGTTTGTGAACGATGTGGACTTAATTGGTGTTATCTATGTGGAATGAAAGAAGAAGAGTGTTTAGTAGATGATCAAGCTGAACCAAGTTTATCAGCACATAATCAAAATTGGGAAACGCATGAAGGTCGTTGTCCAATGAGTCTTGTTAGTATACATGAACTTGATGAACGGTGGCCACAGAATGATCGAGATTGTTTAGAATACTTTCATCGTTATCGAACATTATGTCAACTTTATAATGTATTTAAAATAATTGGTGAAGATAAATTCGATGAACTTAATGATACTTTTGGTATTATTGATGGATCAGGCTATAGAATTGAAGAAATAAGAGATTATGAAAATAGAATTTTAATTAATTATTCACCGAACGATAATAATTGAATAGATGAATCTATTTTTCTGAATTAGATTTAATTATCAAAGTATTCTTGCAATGAAAAAGAATATTTTGTTTGTCTATTTTAAATATATATTTTATTCTTCTGAACTATAATCTTCATTTTTGCAGAAAAAATCAATAAAATTCTAGCTATAAAGAATTATATAGATCAAGTATCTGTTGAAGTCTTTAATTCTTTATAATTAATTTGATTCTAATGACTAATTTCAGTTATCATTGACAATAAGTGAAGAAACTCTGCTTGGAACATTTCATTAATAAAAAAGAAAGCAGTAAAAGTTGATTTATGAAGGCACAGTTTCGAATCGATTATAATTGAGATTAGAAAAAAAACAGTAACACTAGGATGTATATTTTTCCTGCCAGAAAAATTGTAAGATGATTTAATTCATTGCGTTAGATATTTATAGTATTCCAGAAAAACTAAGAAATAATAAATTCATTTGCTGAAGACCTATCACCATAACCTTTCTTTTATTTAATAACCTCTCAATTTCATAGACTATTTTAGAGTTTATGATTCTGCTGTATTTTATTTTATTCTAAAAATGTATGTTTAAATTACAACGTAAATGAAGAAGCAAAGGAATTAACTGAAAAAACAAGAATGAGAAGCGTATGTATTCAACATAATCTACCTATAATAAAATAAATAAGAACAAAATCGTTGTTGTCGACGTTGAAATGAAGATAATAGCTTGTCTCACGTCATGTATTACTGATAACATCCGAATAAAAAATTTTCAATATATTTTATCTGAAATCTATCACTGGTTTTGAGAAATGCAACATGAACACAGTTATTGCCATGGATGAGTCATATTTTCATTAATTCATTTGAAAATACTACTCTTATAAACTTTAATCTTACACTGAATTTGTCTCATTAATATATCAGGAATCAAAAAATAATCACGACATCTCCATAGAAAGAATTCAGAACTTTGCGTATTCATGTAGTTTCTTTTCAATTATTAGTTATTAATTGAATTATTGGTCAATGTATATGCTTCTAGTTCAGACACACACAAAAGGATGTGATCCATCTGGTACTTCAGGATGAACTTAGGATTTCACAAAATTTAGCAGAATTTTGATTGACTTCTTATATTTGTTGTTGAGTAGATGAATGATGAATCATTTTGCTCAAGAGAATTCTATTCTTTTTCTTTCAATTCAGAATATCATTTTTTTTAGCAAACGTAAATAGTACGTAGTACGTACTATTGTCAATATAGTATCTGCTGAAATTGAGACTAGTTCGCAGATTCTAATAAAAATGTGTTAGCTCATCACAGAATGCTTTTTTTTCGAAAATAAGTTCAGTTTGCCATCAGACATTTTTACTAACATGTTTAACTGAGATGGACTGAATTAAGTTCGTCTCGGTTTGGTTAAAAATTTCGTAAAATCTAAACCGATTTTATCCCTGTTGTTTACTAAGCAGTGGCTATTGAATGTGGATTATGCAATATCTTGAATTTGCATACAGACTTTGGAAGTTAAGTAGAACTGAGTAACACATAATTTTCTATGCTTTATAACTTCGGAGACATGTGGCATTTTTATCCTTTTATGATGAAGGATTATCTCGAATTAGTAGATTCCATGAAGAGAAGATAAATTATCTGTCAGCCCTGGAAGCCAAGGATGTGTTTATTGGTTTGAATCATACTCCTATTGGTTAATACTTAGGTTTTTATATCTTTTCTAACTTTCAAGTTTATTGATGGCAAAATTATCTGTAGCCTAAAACAATGGATTCCTGTTAGTACAATATATAATAATGATCTAGTTTAACCTATGAGCACTTGGTTCCCTTGAAGCCTCATAGATTAATTATACCATGGCATCGCTCTCTTTAATATTGTTAGAATTACGTTAGAATTTTGTTCAACGTCTTATTCAAGAGATAGCCATAAACACTTACTATCTACTTTTCTATTGACAATTAAAGAATTCTATCAAAGCTTTGATGGAATTTAAAATTTTAATAGCTATATAACCATTTCGTCTTGTGATTCAACAATGTTGTTCAAGCACAAAAATATGTCTGCGGTAAGCATTGTCTTATATGACGAGATGAAGACTTCTACCAAGTATTTGTAATGTTTTGTTATTATTAGCAAATTTTTGTCAGTTAGAAAATGGCCATGCCTTCTTTCATCTTAGTATTCTACAAACCATCGTGATATTCTATTCGAATTCTGATCTCTTTGAATCCTAGGAAAAAATTAATTTTCAGACGAGAGAAAATTCTCATCACGAAGTTGATCTTGTACTATTATAGTTCTAGAATTCTGTTCCAAATATGTTGGTTTTATTGAATTGTGACTAGGCTTTTTTCGCATTAAAAGAAAGCGTTGACAAATTATTTCGTAATCCTCTGAGCTATAGAATTCTAATGGGATTCGAGAGATTTTGTTAAAGTCTCTAGGGTCTTTTGTTTTTCAATGTACATTCAATAACGTAAACCTATTATGTTCGTATTGCAAAATTTCAGCTTTGAAAAAGTTTTTCTATAATTTTAAAACTCTTGATAGACTTCTATTTAAAACGAACTATTTACTTCTAGTAATAACTATAAATGAAAAAGATGGCGACAACTATGATGATGATGATGATGATGATGATAAAGCACTTGTTATTTTTATCGGTTGTCCTATATGCGCATGTCTAAGAAATTCTGCAGGTCCTAATTTTTATTGTATTAAATAAATCAAGCAAAAGTGTTGACAGCTGGAAATTGATCAATTGAAAATTTTCTGAAATTAGTGTAACTGTTGTAGTTTTTGCTTGAACTGGAACAATGCTGATGCAAAAGAAAAACTTTCGAGTTGGTCGCTCCTGTTTTTTTGTATCTGCTGCAGGGCTTAACCAATACTGATCGTGATCTACCGGTGACAACTTGTCAGCATAAGCTATCGATCTCCATTCTATATTTTTTTCTTTTTTCTATTGCGTAGTTATCTCCCATAATCTATTTATATATGCATAAATATCTTTTACAGTATTATTCATGAAACTTATCGAAAGATATAGGAGAGAAAACTGCCGAAACATCTAATTACATGTAGAATATAGCTATTTAGTATCTGTAATAGATTGGGGTCATAGATAGAATTTAAAATCTAGAAAAACAAATTATTTGGTTATAAAATAAACTACTTTGGATTCAAATTAGATTTTATTAATAAAAGTTTTACTGTAGGTATAAAATAATAATTCTAGATCTTTGATTAACATAACACTTTGTCGTCTGTTAATCAAATTCATAACTTGAAATCTTTACACAAACAAATCAATAGTTTAGAGTTCGAAAAATTATTTTAGTCGCTTAGTTCAAAGAAGTCAAACAAAAGAATATGATAAACGAGCTCATACGAAATGTTTGAAGAAATTGTTGATGTTCCTATGCTTATGTTCTGTTCTTTATCGTTCTTATGCTAACGACGACAAATATCTTTTCTTGTCTTGTTCGATTTGCCCGATTCTTCATCTTTTTTCTTCTCAGAATATCTCTTCATTCCAACGTACATATTCAGCGAAGGAAGAAGACGGAGTCAGCAGGAAAGAGATAAAACAGCAGCTGAAACAAATAATGATAGTATTCTGCTTTTGCCGTAGCATCTTTTTCTTGTTTGTTTTTCTCTTATTCTTGCTCTCTTTCACTCTCGTTCTATCATCTGCATTATTTTCATGAGATCAGCCAAAACAGAACAGTTGACCCATTTTGTGAATACAGATAACATTGATATATGTTTGAACTTACGTAGAATAAGAGAAAAATCTTCTGTTTTGCCATCAGTAAAATGTCAATAGATGTTGTTGACACACATAAGACATAGTATCAGTAAAAAATACCAGTATTCCATACCATCTACCACCTATTGATGTTTTCGACTAGTAACTGACACCATTCACTTTTATTAGTATTGATCATCATGAAGTAACTCAGTGTTAATAGACAATATTTGGAGTGAGAAAACGAGCAGAATAAAAACAAGAAGACACTTATATTAACATTGATTCGTAGTCTGTTTATACTTAAGCATACACTTATCTATTTTTATTTCTGTCTTTTTTTTCGGTAAAATTTGAATAATGAAATATATTATTTTGATTTTTCAGATATACTTTTATACATTTATTAAATAATCAACAATGCCAATCGACGAGAATGAGGTAAATATTTTAATTCTTTTTTCGTCTTTATAATGAAATCTTCGATTCTATCAATAATATATCTACAGAAAATTTCTATTGGTACAATAGAGTTTCGTGTTAGTGAAGCATTGCATGTAGACGAGTTTCTATCAAAAACTCTGCATACAATTAAGTCTATTGAGAGATTTCAAATTAGTTTAGAAAAAAAATTCTCGTATATTAAAGCAAAATGTTCCTGTTCGAAAATAGCAATAATCATCTGAATGAAATGCATTTTAATGTTTTTTTAAATAAATCTCTGTTTCGTGAAATCGATGTCTCTCTATTTACCCAGACAAACGATTTGATCAATGAAAAGAAAGCATCTGCTCGCGTACAACTTCAATGTTGTCTCGTATTTTATGTGTGACAAACATACACTTCCGCTATCTCATTTCACAACGGCAATACCATTGTTCTAAACAACACAAACATATCACGGAAGAGAGAATAGACTCGAGTGATATGTTTGCTTAGAACAACAGAGAGAGAAAAAGAGAGAATACCTCAAGAGACACTTTTTTTTCATTATACAGTAGTCATTCAATATCATACTTTCATTTTTTCCCCCTTATATCAATTCATTATTTTACTATGCCGTCATTAATCGTGCCTATCACTAGTAATGTTAAAATGAAAAATTCATGTAGACGTGTCGTGACGCACAAGGCATCTTCTCCTCCATTAACAGAAACAATAGAAGCAGAACTAAAGGTAAAAATAAATGTAGATCTTCTGTTTATTCACGTTTTTATCTTCGTTGAAAAATACGATCCGTGTGTTCTACACTTGAATATGTGCTTTCATAAAAGATTCTATAGACATAATTTGTTAATCGCGGCGCCCGTATAGACAACTTGAATAAAAATAAGTTAATTATCTTAGCTATATCTCGTTAAATATCATGAATTCAATAAAATGATGACAAGAAGAAATGACAGAAAAGAGAATTTCTTCTAAAAATATTCTTCTCTCATGGCTCAATCATTTCTGTGAAATGTTTTTATATATGGTAAAAGAAAATAACTTCTGATCTTTTTTTATCGATCTGCCATAATGTGTAGAAAATAAATCCTTCTACCTAGTTGATTCTAGTATGTATTTTTTCGTTTCTATTGATATATGAGCAAAACAGTCAGGTATGATTACAATTATTATTATTATAAACACTTCTTTTAAGTTTTCTTTCACTTAAGTCAATCGATAATCGATAATAAAGTGTATTAGACAGTAGGTCTTTTATCATTTTGCCTAAACGTATACGTATAGTATGTGCGGAACAGAAATAGTCTTTTTCATTTCAATGATTTTTTTCACATAGGGCCGCTGTCCTTTTTTTTTTGTCTTTTTTTTCTATTTTTTTCTATTTCCTTTCTTTCCCTTTGAATGTATGCCTGACCCTAGTATATTACATTACGTTGGCATCAAGAAAGAAACGAAAGAGAAAAAGGACAGAATAAAAAAGGAACCGGTGCTTCTGTTGTTCAGCGTTTGATAGATAGAAACTATATTTTCTCTGACTTTCACAATGTTCAACAGTATGCATTGTATGAATATAGTTATTCGACCAGAAAAAGAGAGTAAATGAGAAAGAAAAGTTATGTAAGAATACAGGACAGAAAAGAAAAAGAAAGAAGTGGAATGGGGACTATGCTAGTCTGATAAATATTCTTCATGATGAACACTTCTAAACCCAATGGGACACTATTTAATATTCATCATTTGTCTGTGTTGTATTGCTGTTGATGGTTGAACTCGTCAATCTATACCCCTAAAGCTTCATCATTCTTCTCGTTTTTTCTTTCTTTCTACTTCCCTTGTTCTAACATTGAATTAGGGGTAGAGTAAGATTTTTTATACATCATCATCAACTCGAGACAGAACGTTGTTCTTTTTCTCAGCGCACACAACTATAGTAAACTGTCTCTCTCTCTCTCTCTTTCTCTTGCTTTCACGATGACTCATACTAAGTTGAACAGCAGCTCCGGAGCTCACGCATGCCTCATGACAGATTAGCATACTACATACGCTTAGGACACACACACCTATGTACGCTTGTGAGTAGAAAAAATAATGAACACTGAAGAATAATAAATATTAGAGGAAAGAGTAAGTAGAAAAAGAAAACGAGTATTTGAAAGAATGAGCATATAAATCTCCTAGTTTATTTAACATAAAATTAAAAAAATGAAAGCTTTTATATAAGATAAGTATCTTTATTAAGTAATATCATTAATGTTAACATTTCGATGTTGAAGAAAGGAAAAAAGAAATGAATTTTGACTTGTGTTTTTTCCCCTCCTGATATTATTATTTTCTATTAATTTTATTTAGATGCCATTCAAAGTTCGCATCTCAAAATTTCGTCATGTATTTGGTTCACCTTATCGTGAACAAGATTGCTACAAAAATATTGCAATAACACGCAATGCACATGATGGCAGTTTTTGTGCTGTCAATTCAAAGTTTTTGGCAGTTGTAACTGAAACAAGTGGTGGGGGTAGTTTTCTTGTATTACTTTTATCTGAAGTTCGTCGATTTTTTTCCAATTAATCTTCTTAATCAAATAAATATTTGATTTAGGTTGGCCGTATTGATGTTGATCATCCACGTATAACTGGTCATCGTGGTCCAGTAGTTGATCTTAAATTTAATCCATTTAATGATAATGAGATTGCTTCATGTTCAGATGATGGAACAGTTAAAATTTGGTATATACCCAACGATGGTTTAAAAGCTGATACATATCAATGGAAAGTTGATCTACATGGACATCAAAGACGTGTAGATTATATCGAATGGCATCCAACAGTACAAAATCTTATATTAAGTGCTGGTCTTGATCATCAAGTTGTTTTATGGAATGTTGAAAGAGCTGAACCAATACAAGTTTATCGATGTCATCCAGATGCAATACAATCAATAGCATGGAATAGAAATGGTTCATTATTCGCAACAACATGCAAAGATAAACATATACGTATTATTGAACCTCGTAGTGGCCGAGTTATTGCGGTAGAAGGATAATTGTTTGTGAAATATATTAACTATTTTATACATTATTTATAGAAAACAATGGGTCACCAAGGTCCAAAAACATCAAAAATTGTTTTTCTAGGCGACACAAATCGTCTGTTATCAACAGGTTTTGGAAAGCAATTTGAGCGACAAATATCTATATGGAGTCTAGTATAGATTAATAAATTAAAATAATCTTTAAATTATTTGGATTAATTTAGAATGACCTATCAAAACCATTAACAGTTGAAACAGTTGATTTCAGTGCCGGTGCTCTTATTCCATTTTATGATCATGATACGCGTACAGTTTATTTAGCCGGAAAAGTAAAAAAGAATAATTTCAAACAAACTCTTTTTCTAATCATTCTCTATACGAATTATTTTAGGGCGATGGAAATATTCGCTATTATGAAGTGAGTGATCATGGTGAACCATATTTATATTTTCTTTCTGAATATAAATCCTCTTCACCACAACGTTGCCTTGGTAAAATAGATTAAAATAAAAACATAATTATTGCTTTTAAGAAAGCAGCTTTTCATTTTCAATAGGTATAATGCCAAAGATTGGTCTTGATGTAACGCGTAATGAGATTATGCGGTTTTATAAATTATTTGCTACTGGATCCGTATGTGAACCTATTTCCATGATTGGTTTGTATTTTAAAAAACAAAATTTTCTTGTAATTTTAACTTTTTTAAATTTAAACTTAAGTTCCTCGTAAAGCTGAAGCATTTCAATTGGATATTTATCCAGACACTCCGGGTCCATACCCAGCATTATCACCGGATGAATGGATAGCTGGTGTTGACCGTGATCCAATACTTGTATCAATGAAAGACCGTGTTGAAGGTACAAATATGCCAAAAATTACAACATATCGAACAATAGATTCAACAACAACAACACCTGTTCTTCCTCATCGTGGAACACCACAACGTACAATTCAACCACCCGTTGCAGAAGTTGCACCTACACCTAAGCACAACATTATTGATCAGTCACCACCATCGCCTATGTCAATTGAAAAATTAGCAATAAATATGCAAAACCAACAGCAACATCATCATCAACAACAACAACAACAACAACAGCAATCAACGTCTAAAGGCTTAAGAAAGATTGAATCATTAAAAATGCCAGCAACAAGTACCGAATTCAATAATGTTAGGTAAGAATCATTTTCAAAGAAAATATTTTAGAACAATAAATCAACAGATTAAAAAATACCTAATTGATAGTAGCACAAAAGAGGAAAAGAAATCAGCTGTTCTACAACGACGCGAGTTTGCAACTCGACGTCGTTTAGCGCGTGCAAGTTCATGTGGCATTTTATTGGATACCAGGTTCGAATTTCTACCCAGCTTTCCTACACACCTTATAGATGCATTTCCAAATAGGTTTCTTGTAATTTCGTTTTGCATCGATATTTTATTCTTTACAGTGATGAAGTTATTTCTACTCCTCTTCCTCCATCACAACCACTACCACCACCACCACCAGCGCCGCCTGAGCGTAAAATAGCTCCATCACACCCAGTTGCTGTAACGCCAGCAACATTGCCAAATTCAACATTGACTCGCAGTCTTTACAAGACACTTCGCTCTACATTTAAGCCTTTTTCATCAGCAAAAAAACTAAGTCACGCACAATCTACACCAGATCTTTCATCGTTGGTGTCAGAAAATAAAAATGATGATGACACATCATCATCACTTGAAAATCTTTCGAATAATTATGCATCAATAAATTTATCTCAACAACGTCCGACTGGTTCAATTCTCAAACGGAGACCACAGCCAGCTCCAGTATCATCACAAATTCATGAAGAACCTCTTTATGTTTCATCGGTTTCTGTACCGTTACAACAGAATGCTATTCGATCTGTTCAATCCATGATTCGTGATCAGAATACTGGCGTATTAGAGAGGTAGTTTGACTGTTTAGTCAAGCATGGAATGAAGTGTTATCTTTTTTTTAAATTGAATTGTTTCCCTGTATGATTTGCTGTGCAATATAATTTATTAGATTTTCAATTGATTCTAATTTAATTTTATACATTTCAGGGATAAATTTCAAACTAAAATTAGTCAACAGCAACAACAGCAACAACAACAACAGCAGCAGAATCAACGACAATCACAATCACCAACACATAATATCAATCAAAATCGACGTAATCTTGAAGTTAAGAAAAAAGTATGGAGCGTTGATACACCTGATCAACAACAGCAGCCGCAGCCGCAGCCGCAGCCGCAGCCGCAGTCGCAACCGCAGCAACAGCTGTTATATCATTCTAATGGTAATGGATCATATCCATCTATTCAACAACAAATGAATGGCATTGACGTACGTAAAATATATACATACATATATCTATTACATTTGTTTCATGCCTATTTTCGTATGTTTCTAGTATCGTCAAGCGTTTTTAAAACAACAAGAAGAAGTTCAATCATTGCGTGAGCTAATGTTATTAAAAGATAATCGAATCCGTTTACTTGAAGATGAATTACGTTTATTGAAAGTGCAATGTGAACATAAAGAGAAAGAACTAAAGAGATGATTGTGTGCTTTTTTTTTAAATATAATTGCTTTTCTTTTCTATTTATATTTTAGTCATTCTTTCATTTTGCAGTCTATGTCTATGTATGAAGAAAACTTTTTTGTATTCTTCTTTTTTCTTGAATATTAAAACATTCGTATGAATGAACAATGGCTTTTTGTTGTTTATTTTAATTGTTATAAAACAAAGAAGATTGCTAAAGGATTTTACAACTATAAATGCGTAATGATTAGACATAACAAAATTGATACTCCAATAGATAAAAATAATGACATCGAATGGCGAAAAGAATTGTTCATTAACCATTCAATTTCATCATCATCAAATGGACTATTCGATTTTAATGAGTAAGGATTAACAGAATCACTTGTTTCGTTGATGAAAGAAACAATCCAATCTAGATAAGCTGCTATACGTGTATATACACCTGAATAGCCTGGGTGTGCACATCCGTATCCAAACGATGTCACACCAGCAATAACCCACTGTTTACTTGATGTAAACATCATAAGAGGGCCACCCGAATCACCTTGACATGTATCTATTAAAATAATGTACTGTTTTATTAATGTCTACTTCTTCTGCTTTTATTTACCTTTTTTACTATTTTCAACACCAGCACAGAATTGTTTTGTTTGATCATAGACCAATGGATAACATCTGAAATCCTGATAATCAATTGCGTTCAATATTACTTGTTGAAGTGTCGAAGATTCCGGGCCTCTTTCCCAGAGTCTGCCCCAACCAACCGCAACAAGCTGAAGTTTTAAAATAGAGCTCAAGAATGTAGTTTTAGTGAATATAACTTTTACTAACTGATGAATCCACTGGTGGATACTCATTCAAAGACATACACGGCAAACATATCTTGGCTGGAATTAAATCAGTCATATGAAAACTGAATGATAATTTGAGCAAAGCAATATCATTGATGAAATTGGATTCATCAAAGTTTGGGTGAAAAATAATATCAGTTACTGAGCCTAATTGATTTTCTTCATGTTGATTATTTGAACCAGTATGAACTGTAATATCAGTAGCATTAATTCGAAAGACACTATTTCCTGAACGATTTTCTATTGCAAAACAGTGGGCAGCTGTTACAATCCATGAACTTGATATAATTGATCCTGCACATCGAAATCTATTTCGAATACGAATTGATACCACCCAACTCCATGTTTCTATATTGGCATTTTGTCCACCGACGATTTTTGAATGCAATCGAGATTTGTTAGAACAACCACATGGTACGTTATGATTGCATGAATAAATGAGCTGACTTTTGAGTTGAAGAATTGTTATCAAGATGATTAAAAATGTAGGTGGCAACATCATTGATAATAAAACGTATAGGATGATGAGTGTTCTGTATTTCTTTTTAGTATATTTGCTCTTTTTCACTTGTTGTCTAATCAAGGTCAATGCCAAATTATTGATGGTCCTATTTGTTGAATTGCTTTTCAAAGTAATCATTTTATTATCAAATAATGTTTAGAGGATTAATGATTTATTTGTGTTCAAAATAAATGTAAGGCGTATGTACTCTGTACATGGACAAACATGTTGACACTTCATCCTTTTGCAATAGAAAAAAAAACGTTTAGAACAAGTAAAGTATTTGGTTAGTATGTTGTCACTGGTGAATTATTGATTTATTATTCTGTTTTTCTTAATTATCATTTATCGTATTAGATTAAGAATCGGATATTATTATTGAGAGCGATCTACATGAGATATGTTGTCGAGAAAGTTATATTATCGGTAAAAAAGCACGAATCTATCCATTTAATAAATAGTCGCTATTTTAATTTTAATTTTAACATTAACCACGCAACGATATCATGAAATGTTGAAACCACGTTTTAATAATAATCTAATGACGTAAAACAAGATCTTTCTAGAAAAATTTAAAAGCATAAACATTAAGATTTTTATAAATTGATCTTCACAATAACGTTTACAATTTATATTTTTGTCAATTTAGTAAATTGCCTAAATGGAAATTAATCTTCGCCGTTTATAAAATATATGACCGTAAAAGTAATACATAGAAAATACGAGAAGAACATGGTATAATGCATTTAAACTGGTTCATATAAGTATAAAAGACGTCATAGGAACGATCCATTATTCATCACTGTAACACTCTGCAAGGCAATAAACTACACTCATTGACATAGGTTTATTAACTTATGTTGGTGATGAAAGTCTGCTTTTCTTTCTGAACAATACTGAACGCATTGGAATTCGATTTAAAATACTTGTTTATACAATTTTTTTTATTAAAAAAGTGATTTCTCGATTAAGTAACGTTTGTAAATTTAAATTCATTACTCCTGTTGATTTTTTGACGATCAATAAATTGTTTCATGCACCGCGTTTATATATTGATTTTGATATTTGAATGTTCAGTTTTTTTTTCTTTATAGATAATAGTGTTAGTGAAGACGATTAAGCTGCAAAAACTGTTCATCAATAATTCCTCACTGAACTTAATGTTTCAATTAAAACATAAACCATCTCTGTTATGTCAGTACCCAGGTGAATGCATCCGATACCGAATCCGATCGAATCTTATGAAACTCGGCGAGCCGACAAAGTCCCATGGAATTCTGGGTAGAGGAACTACTAACGGATCGTTAGTGTTGGAATCCAGTGAACATCCGACCAAATCCAACAGCCGAATTCGATAGGAATTTCAGGAGCCGGATTCCAACGAGGTTCCTAAATAAGCCTATCGGATTTTGACTGGTTCCTGCAAGAATTGATCGGATTCCAACACTAGGGGTCCGTGAGTGGGTCCGCAACCAAGATTTGCTTAGAATCCTGCAGGAACCGATCGAATCCGGTTGGATCCAGCTATCGGATTGTTTGTCCTGGGTACCCCGGCCGAACATTTCGGCCACCGGATCCTATAGGGTACTCCAGGAAATACGCAGGAAAGTCACCATTTCCTGCAGGAAAACACGGAAAATCGCTGGAACATGGAAGCAGTGTTCCCAGGTCGAACAGTCCGGCCTGGAAACGGCCGGTTCCGGGTAATTCCGTTGATTTTGTGGAAGCAGTATTCCGGTTGGAAAATTTTCGCGTTTTTTCCAGTGATTTCCGAATTCCTGCCGGTAAGCACCGGAACTTGGCAGGAATTCGCCGGAAAAGTCCGGCCGTATTTTTGACCGGAATACTGCTTCCATTTTCCAGCGACTTCCCGTGTTTTCCTGCAGGATACAGTGACTTTCCCGCATATTCCCTGGAGTATCCTACGGGATCCGGTGGCCGGAATGTTCGACCTGGGTTTGGGTCAAAAACATGGTCGGGCTTTTCCGGCGGATTCCTGCCAAGTTCCGGTACTTTACGACAGGAATTGATTGGAAATCACCGGAAAAAATACGAAAATTTTCCAACCGGAATACTACTTCCACAAAATCAGCGGAGCTACCCAGAACCGGCCGTTTGCAGACCGGACTGTTCGACCTGGGTAGAGACATCTCCTGACATAAGACGGCCATCTTTATCCCTCTATCATAGTTATGAGATGGAACCGACCGGTGGGAAGGAGAGAGAAAGAGAGAAAGCACATATTTTGTTGCTTTTTTGTTTTTGAATTCAATCGTTTGTTTTTTTGTGTGAAAGAAAGATTACAAGGAATAAACGAAGGAAAAGGACCTAACAATCTCAATGACTTTCAATGATAATTAATGGCCATCTGCATTTTTTTTGTCAACTTTTTATTCTGAAATTGAATCCAGTTTGCTTTATTAAACTTTTACATAAAATAAATATTTGTCTTTATTTGAAAGTTGAACTGATAGTAAGAAGATACCAGTAGGTTATGCTTTATTTTTGGGCAGAGGATTATAATTACTTCATTATAAAAATAGATAAAAAAATAATCAAAATTCTTTCTATAAAACCAATGTAATATTTTACATTTATGTATTTTATTTATTTAACAAAATTATAACTGTCAATTCTGATATTCAACTTTATAAAAATGCAATATCTTCTTTGACTGATGAATTACTCGAAATATTTGTACGTTGTGATCAATATACATGGTATGTGAAATCTAGTTGCTTTCTCTCTTTATGTAAATTTAAATACTGTTCGACTGATCATTACAGACATAGTTGTATGACGCTTTTTTTAATGCTAAATGATTTCATTTTTAAAAAATCTGATGGAAATAGACGAGTTTAATCAACATCGTATATTAGTATAGATGTACTTCATTCAGTTATGTCATCAACTACACTTTCAACTTCGTTTGAAAATGACACTTAATAAAATATGAAATAAATTATAGATATGACAATGCACTAATATCGAGTCAATAAATCGTTGAAATCATCAGCCAACTAGTTTTGTTTTAAACAATGAATCTCTATTGATCTATTTAGGATGGACAAAAAATAAGTCAATTGACAATCTAGTTATTAAAATAATGGTGAATTTCTTCGGTGGTTGATTTATTATCTATCATAGTTCTGCATGTTAGTTCTATCTGTATTTCAAAAGTTAAATAAATTTAACAGAGCATAAAACTTGGTTGAATATAACCGTAGATAGACTCTCAGTTTAGACTTGAATTCTTACCCTAGTAATATGGTCAGCTTTAAATACATGATTAAAATAAATCAAAACATATCGCTCTAAATGAAATGATTGTTTTAATGTATTGTTTTGTTTGATGAAAAGAATCGAATATTCCGCTAAGATCAGCCTGATAAGCTATTTAACAATTTTATCAGCTTTCGTACTTTTATTGTACATAAAAAAGTACACTTATGAAACAAAATTAGTAACAAAAATAAGTCATTTTTTTTCATAATAATCCATAAGATTGAGAATACGACGATCTGTTTCATTCATTTTTCCAATAATAGTACCAATTCTATCTGGATTTTCTTCATTAGGAGTTTCAGTTGAACTTGGAATATATTCAGTAAGATATGCATTCAAATCGAAATCAGTTATTCCTTCACTATTTTCTCCAGTAAGTGTACGTGCAAGTGAATTTTCATTCTCATCATTAACTATTCGATAACAAACTCGATGAAGTTCACGTTCTTTATGATCAATAGCAATACGATCAATATATGGTACATGCCAAATAAGAGATACGGTTTGAGCACTGAAAATAACCAGAAACAAACTTTTTCATATAAAGATTTAAATGTTAAACATAATATAAACTAACATGTAAGATGTGATTAGTCGATGACCAGTAGAATTCCAATGACATCCATCAGTATCTCTCAGCTCTGGATGTTGCCGAAACAGATAATGAACATCAAGTACTTCGCAATTTTTCTTTTTAGCTAATTCAGCAGAGAAAGCATTTATATGAAGAAATTGTGTTCGCCAATATTTATTATCTGGCCGATCTAGAATTTACAAGGCCAAAAAAGTAATAAAAATTCTATGAATAATTTCAAATCTATACATTTTTCATCAAATACAGCCGCATTTGGTTCAGCCGATATTGGAAGAGCAGTAAGCCATAAAATAATTGTTGTTGGTGATGTAGCAGCACGTAAATCATCGAAACATAATGGAAGATAAGTTTTAAAATCCTTTTCACCATTTCCTCCATATCGACTAATGATAAAGATTTAGATTTCAAATAGACCACTCGAATTTTCATATTACCTAATATCCCATAGAGTACTATTTATAACGACAAGATCTGGCTTTTCTGTATCTTTTTTAAAATCTTCAAATAATCGTAATGTAACTTCATTTTGACATCTAAAAATGTAAAGGATTTTTATTTTGAATTCTTTTTTAAATATACGCATAAATTTACCGAGTTAGAAAAATAAATTTCACAAGAAATATATTAGCCAAAAAGACACGTTTTTCTTCATATTCAATGCCACTGGCTAAGTTTTTATAAATTCCACCTTCGAGTAAAATATCTCCTGAATAAGTTTTTTTTTAATTTAAGAAATATTTTTTGTTTAATTTTGAAATAAATTTACCACAAATAGATTCTTTATTTCCACCTGCTTTTCGATCAGAATCACTCATTAATTTGTCGTCTTGTAAAAGAAGTATAAAATCTTTATAAATAGAGCGCATATTTGAATCACCCATAAAAACAACATATTTATTTTGAAATATTCGACGTAAATCACGCATACGAATTGTTTCCATATCTTTCTTTTTCTTTCAATCAAACAAATACCATATGAATTAACAATCTAGAAACATATCGAATATTAGTTTATGCTTAATTTATATTAAATACTCTGCATACAGAATGTGCAGGAAAAAAAATCATAGGCAAGAAAAAGAAAGTGAACAAATATCGCCAAAATAGCAAAAGTAAATGA